ACAGGAGTGGAGGAGCTTTGTCACGCTGATGGGAGAACCTTTCCCGTTGCTGTAGCGAGTGTCTACAGTGACGCACCATAGCAAGACAGTCGCAGGGTCTCAGGTGTAGACAAGCCCTGGGATATGACATTCAGTGACACCCCCAGTCCCTCCTTTTCCTTACAGTGCTGAATCCCTCCAGCCTGTGGTCGCTGGTCCCGGCTTTCCTGCAAATGTCCGTGACGTTCCCCTCTGGTGTTATGTGGACCAGTGATCTGATAGGTCACTCCATTCCTTGACTCTGGGAGCCGGCCTTACCCTGCTCTGCTGTGAGAACCCCCTTTCCTCCCCGGGCTGTTCACGCACGGCCTCTGGCATTTAAGCTGCTCCTTGGATTGTGCAACCGAAAGACACTAGTGAATATCTCCAGTCCCAGACACAACCCAAGGGACCTCCATCTTGCAGTGTCCAGTTATGCCCGCTGGACGCTGCAAGCTTATATGAGCTTATATCAATTTCTTTGTTAAATTGACAAAGTCATATGTACCAGGCTAGTTATGCCAAGGGGAATCTCTGACATGCTTCAAACCAAACGCACTGCTTCAGGTGGAATAAACAAACAGGTTTATAAACTATAAAGATAGATTTTTAAGTGATTATAAGTCAAAACATAACAAATCAGATTTGGTCAAATGAAACAGAAACAAAAGCAAAATGCATTCTAAGCTGCTCCAGGGCTGGAGCACCCACGGAAAAAAATTTGCTATTTAGCATGCACAGCTGCCCTCATCAGCTCTTTGTGTGGCTGCGGCCAGTCAGCTGTTTGGCACAAAGTCCCACCTATCAGCTGTTTCCCCTGCAGCTGCTGAAGCTCCCAGTGGGCTCCCACTGCAAGCATGTGTGAGTCCTTTTAACGTTCAGGGCAGAGGGAGCTAGGCTGGGGGACAAGCAGCCAGGGCACGGCAGCTTCTGGGCTAGCTCTGGAGGGGTGGGGCAGATGGGTGGGCAGCCCCTCGGCAGGGGATTGGGGGGAGATGGATGGGCAGCCTCTCGGCTGGCCCCAGGAGTCTGCTGGGGAGAGTATGGGCCAGGGGGTTTCTCAAGGACTGAGCCAGCCATTCTCAGCCCACCCTGGTGTCTCCCCCAGGACCTGTGCTCCCCCTCCAGCCAGGAGAAACCAACTGCAGACCCCCTTAGTGCTGGGCAGAGGGACAAACCAAAGGACATGGCTCCTTTAAGAAAAGTTTGCCCTTGTGTCTGATGAGTGAACTTGGGCTGGGGCCAGCAGCTCACACCCTGCCTCCCCCACCCCCATGCTCCGTCCAGTGAGTCGGGTGCGCCCAGCCATGGCCAAAGGTGAGAGGGGCTTCACTGCAGCCCCTGGTGCAAATGAGCAGCCTCCCCCAGCCCGGACCCTGCCTGTGCCCGGACCCCTCCCAGGTGGGCTCTGGGGGCTCCCAACCCCTATGGTTCTGACCCAGGTCCTGGGGCTCCGCATCCCTTCCCCGTGTGTGGGGGAGCGGGAGGGGGCAACACAGCCCCAGTACTTCTAGCCCCATCCTCCCCGTGGGCTCTTCTCCATGGCCGGCTCTCATGCCTGGGAAAGCAACGCTTGCCCAGCCCAAAGCTGTGTCCCCCGCCCCCATGCCCAGATCAAGCCTGCCTGAGCGGCTTTTCCTCCCAGAGAGGAAGTTTATCCCCTCCCACACCCATCAGCATCCCTTCCTCCTCCGCGTCAGGAAGGATTGATTCCCTTCCCCTGGATCCATTCCCCGCAGTTCCCAGGGAATTCCTTCCCTTCCATCCACCTCCCTGTGTCCACTACATGTCAGGAGCTGCTGCCTCGCTTCACCTTGGGACACCTGAGCTCCTCCTGCTTCAGGGTGCTGGGCTGCAGCAGCCGGGTGGAGGAAGCAACCCCCCCCCAGCCCTCCGCCCTCCTTGGCCATGGTCCCACCAGGGGCTCCCCGCCCACAAAAGTTGCAGAGTGTGTGCGGGAGTTGGGGGTGGGCTGCAGCCCTGTGGACTGGGAGGAGCAGGAGCAACACAGCCTCGCCACACAGCAGGATGAAGGAACGGGCTGTTTCTATGCTGGGCTGTTGAATTAAATGTCTCTCTCTGGCTCAGGGTGGGCAGTTTCTGGGCTGGCCGCAGGGGGTGGGGCTGGGGGGAGACAGAGCTGCTTGGAGTGCGTGGGTGGGAGCGGGCGCTAAACAGAGCCACCAGGAGGAGGGGAGCAGAGAGAGATGGGAAAAGGGACACGGGTAGAGAGCAAGAACTGGGAAACATCAGGAAGGGGAGATACCAATGATAGACACACTTTCAATAACTAGAATGAAAGTGTATAAATATGTTGAAAATAGCCTCCCCTCAAAATTGGCAGAGCACCCCTCCAGCACACGCACCTCGCCCTTAAGGCAGGAAGGGGCAGAAAGGAGTGAGCGGCAGGTGGGAGGCATTTAGCAGAGGGGGTTAGCAAGAAGGAGGCATTCAGGGGGGTCTAGGAGGATGGGGCAGGAAAAGGTGGAGTGCGGGCAGGACTTTGGAGAAGGGGGCAGAGCCAGGATGGGGCACCCGCCGGCAAAACCAAAAGTCATCACCTGTGTACCTGGGCCTTTGCCTTCCACAGGGAGGATGGACGAGAAGACCACTTGCGCCTCAAACTCCTTTATCCTTCTTCCCAAAGCCACGTAGTCCACAGTGATCCGCTCAAGGTCATTCTTGGCAGTATCATTGGTGCCCACGTGGAGAGGCAGGAAGGGGTAGTGATCTGAGGGCTTGATGAGTCTCGGCAGTCTCTCCGTCACATTGTGAATCCTAGCTTCTGGCAAGCAGCACACTTCTCGGTTTTCCCGGTTGAGACTGCAGATAGATGACTCAGTCCCCACTTAGGAGGGAGTCCCCAACCACCACCACCCGCCTCCTTCTCTTGGGAGCGGTGGTTGTGGAACTCCCATCCTTAGGACAGTGCAGCTCATGCCTTCCAGTCGGAGGAGTCTACTTCTGTTCCCTTCCCTCAGATGTATCATCTAGTCCACTTTCCGCATTAGTACCTGCAGAGAGAACATGAAAATGGTTGCTTACCTGTATCTGCATTGCTGGTACAAGGGTGCTCCTCTTTCTTCTTCTGGAGATCACATGCTGCCAATTTTCCTCACCGTCCTTCTGTCCCCACTGCGCAGCCTGCTCTGAATCTTCAGAAAGTTGTGCCCGCAGAAGCATATCCTGATGTCTGTCCAGGAAATCTTCATTTTCTCTTATGCAACTCAGGGTTGATACTTGTTTCTCCAGTTCTTGAACCTTCTCTTCCAATATGGAGACCAGCTTGCATTTTGTACAGACAAAGCCACTTCTGTCCTGTGGAAGAAAGACAAACATGGCACATCCTATGCAGGTCACAACAGCTGATCGCTCACCATCCATATTACCTTTCTTCTACGAGCTTCCTCAGCTGTTGCAGTTACTACTCAGAGAAGCCTGTAAGATGAAATCTTCAGCGGGCTCTCCCTAGGTGAACTCCCTCTGTTAGCCTTTCCACTGCCCTTTCCTACCTCTTGGCTTTGCCCCCTCTTCAGAGTCAGGTGAGCATTACTGAGTCTCTCCAAGCAAGGTTGAGCAATTCCCCTGGTGTGGCCCCATGCAAGTGAGTCACTGCATTGTAGCTTCCTTACTGGACAATGGCTGTTGATGGGTTGTTTGATACCCCACCCGGGCGTTGGTTACTTTCCTTGCTGTTGCCTCTGGGGAGCTAAGATCTGGCTGATTCCCCAATTTACAGCATGTCTCAGTGACAACCATACTACACAATTCTCATAACTTCATATGCATGAATGATTCACATGGACGGACAGAGAAATGACTTTCAACAGATCATAACCTTTCCCCTGATACCTTACAAGGCATGCTTTATACGTAAGATCATGGTTATATGAAAATGAGGAATATGGGGGTTACAGTACGCTCCACCAAGGTGTAGAATGTCACACTCTCCCATAATCTCAGTATTTCTCTCTGTGATTAAGAAGCAGGTCCAAGGTGACTTCCCCTCTGCCTGGAGTCTTTACTTCCTGGAACACGGAGTTACTGTCTCTGTGTTTTAGGAGCCCCTTTGCTGAGGAGTGTCTGTCTGTTTGTGTGTTCCCAGCAGAGATGGGGATAGCTAAATCCCTCATATGTGTCCACCTTGGAGCACCTGGAGAGGTGCCTCAAGCATTTTACTGCTTTAAAATGGGCTGAGTTAAAACTGATAGGCTCTTTTTTGTGAGAAATGTCCTGTCAAGGTTCCTTCCCCACTCTGAACTCTAGGGTACAGATGTGGGGACCTGCATGAAAGACCCCCTAAGCTTATTCTTACCAGCTTAGGTTTAAAACTTCCTCAAGGTACAAACTTTGCCTAGTCCTTGAACCCTCACCACTAAGCGTGTTAAACAAAGAACAGGGAAAGAGCCCACTTGGAGACGTCTTCCCCCCAAAATATCCCCCCAAGCCGTACACCCCCTTTCCTGGGGAAGAAAAAGGAAAAGAATCACCCCTGTAAAATCAGGATGGTAAATACCTTACAGGGTAATCAGATTCAAAACATAGAGAATCCCTCTAGGCAAAACATTAAGTTACAAAAAGACACAAAACCAGGAATATACATTCCATTCAGCACAGCTATTTTACCAGCCATTAAACAAAAGGAAATCTAACGCATTTCTAGCCAGATTACTTACTAACTTAACAGAAGTTCTGAAGAGCATTCCTGACCTGGTCCCGGCAAAAGCATCACACAGACAGACAGACCCTTTGTTCCCCCCCCACTCCAGTTTTGAAAGTAACTTGTCTCCTCATTGGTCATTTTGGTCAGGTGCCAGCGAGGTTATCTTAGCTTCTTAACCCTTTACAGATGAAAGGGTTTTGCCTCTCGCCAGGAGGGATTTTATAGTTCTGTATACAGAAAGGTGGTTACCCTTCCCTTTATATTTCTGACATGTCCCATGAACTCCCCTGAACTCCCTTGTTTTCTATGCCCTGAGCAGGGTTTCCCATTTCCAAACCTGATGTGATCTCTCAGCTGGAACGAGGGGAGGAGCCGTGGGTGCTGGATCTCCAGGGCTCTGAGGAAGGAGAGATCCCGAGAGGCGCCTGCGCAGGTGAGGGATCATTAAACCAATTCAAATACACTCTGTGGCTGAAGGAAATACCTGGGACTCGCTAAAAAGGCCTTGGGAGCTCTCGGAGTTCAGAAGTATCCCCAGGAGGCCTTGTACCCTATGGGCAGCTATCGCTCACGGCTTCCTACCAATCCTGACTGACACCTGGCAGCAGGTGTCCCTCTCTGATGGGATGTGGAGGCAGAATTGTTCCCCTCCTCTCTCCCCTAAGGAGAAGAGTTTTGGAGAATTCAGGTTCTAGATTTTTTCTGTCTCTCCAGCTCTAATTTTGGTTTGTTTTCCCCTTTTCCACCCATTTCTGATGTTTCTCCCTGTGTCCTAGCAGGTGCTTGGATGGTGAATGAGAACGAGGAGCTGACTCCTCAGCAGGAAGATGCTGAGCAAGTGGAAGCGCGTGGGGGATTATCGCAAGGATCGAAAGGGAATGTGTCCAGGCGTTGTGTGAAGGGGAAAGCCTGTGAGAGCCACAACAGGCCAGAGAGGCAGCAGGGAAACCAGCTCAGGGAGAAAGTGGGCAAATCCATTAATTGTCAGGGGCCTCACCAGGACTCCCAGGAAATCACAGACCAGCAGGGAATACCTACAGGAGAGAGAAAAAACACATGCACTGAGTGTGGGAAACACTTCACTCTGAACTCCACCCTTGTTAGACATCAGAGGATCCACACGGGAGAGCACCCCTACCAATGCTGTGAGTGTGGGAAACAGTTCAGCGAGAAATCAAACCTTATTACACATCAGACAAGCCACACAAGAGAGAGACCCTATGAGTGCTGTGAGTGTGGGAAAAGCTTCACTCGGCACTCATCCCTTACTAGACATCAGAGGATCCACACCGGGGAGAGACCTTATGAATTCTATGAGTGCGGGCAAAAGTTCACTCTGAGCTCATTCCTTATTAATCATCAGCGAATGCACATAGGAGAGCGCCCCTATACATGCTGTGAGTGCGGGCAAACATTCACTCAGAGCTCAGCCCTATTTAAACATGAGAAGATCCACACAGGAGAGCGCACCTATGAATGCTCTGAGTGCGGGAAACAGTTCAGTGAGAAATCAAGCCTTAATAAACATCAGACAAGTCACACAGAAGAGAGACCCTATGAGTGCTGTGAGTGCGGCAAAAGTTACACTCGGAGCTCATCCCTTATTCGACATCAGAGGAGCCACACAGGAGAGAGACCGTATAAATGCTGTGAGTGCGGGAAAAGTTTCACTTTCAAATCAAACCTTAATATACATCAGAGAATTCACACAGGAGAGCGCCCCTATGAATGCCGTGAGTGTGGGAAACAGTTCACTTGGAGCACAGCCTTTCGTAAACATCAGAGAATCCACACAGGAGAGCAGTCCTATGAATGCCGTGAGTGCGGGCAAATGTTCCCTCAGAGCTCAGCCCTTCTTAAACATCAGAGAATACACACAAGAGAGAGACTCTATGAGTGCTGTGAGTGTGGGAAAAGCTTCACTCGGAGCTCATCCTTTATTAGACATCAGAGGGTTCACACAGGAGAGAGACCGTATCAATGCTGTGAGTGTGCGAAAAGCTTTGCTTTCAAATCAAACCTTAATAAACATCAGAGGGTCCACACAGGAGAGCGCCCCTACAAATGCTGTGAGTGCGGGAAACAGTTCAGTGAGAAATCAAACCTTATCACACATCAGATAGGCCACACAGGAGAGAGACCCTATGAATGCTGTGAGTGTGGGAAAAAGTTCACTCAGAGCTCAGGCCTCTTTCATCATCAGCGAATGCACACAGGAGAGCGACCCTATACATGCTGTGAGTGTGGGAAAAAGTTCACTCAGAGCTCAAGCCTTATTAATCATCAGAGAATCCACACAGGAGAGCAACCCTATGAATGCAGTGAGTGTGGGAAAAAGTTCACTCAGAGCTCAGGCCTTATTAATCATCAGAGAATGCATACAGGAGAGCGACCCTATATATGTTCTGAGTGCGGGAAAGCATTTCCTCATAACTCAGGCCTTATTAAACATCAGAGGATCCACACAGGAGAGAGACCTTATGAGTGCGCTGAGTGTGGGAAAAGCTTCACTGAGAACTCATCCCTTACTAGACATCAGAGGATCCACACAGGCGTGAGACCATATGAATGCTGTGAGTGCGGGAAAAGGTTCAGTTTCAAATCAGACCTTAATAACCATCAGAGGATCCACACAGGAGAGCGCCCCTATGAATGCCGCGAGTGCGGGAAACAATTCACTTGGAGCACAGGGCTTATTATTCATCAGAGAATCCACACAGGAGAGCGCCCCTATGAATGCTGTGAGTGCGGGAAAAGGTTCACTCAGAGCTCAAGTCTCATCAATCATCAGAGGATCCATACACGAGAGCAGCCTGTGAATCCTGTGAAAGCGGGAAAAGTTTCATCTGGAGCTCACACCTTAATAGACATCAGCGATTTCACAGGCTAGAGACACACCATAAAACTTTGTGTAGGCAGAGAAAAGATTTTTTTAAAGACATTTGCTAATTCCCACATAGCACTTTTTAGGCTGTTTGCACCATTTCTCACCCTTTCTTTCAGCTCCCCAGGTGAGTTGCTCTTTTCCTTTGGAGATCTCCCTTCGCTTGTGAATCCCGTTCCTTTCTCCAACTTCCTTCTCCTAGAGTCATCATGGGAGTGTGTCCCTCCTCAGCATTCCTAGCCCCAGGTGGGGGAAATAGGGGTGACCTAAGTAGCTACACTCAAAATCAACCTGGGCTTTTCTCCCTAGGATTTTCATGGGCTCCCTCTGGAGGTGGCATCCCAGTGCCAACACCCCCTGTATTGCCTCTGATAAGCCCAGGCTGGGTTAGCTACCTTCCCCTTTACCTGTCCTAATCGACGCCAATTTCATAGTCTAGACAGGCCTTAGCACACCTTTATATCCCCCTCAAAGACGTTTGTCACAAGTTCCCCCTTTGACAGATTTTTCATTCCCATTTTTCACCTCAGTTGTCTGGAAGTTTTTTCTTTTACCATTTCCCTTATTGAAAATTTATTTCAATATAACAAAGAAAGGAACAGGAGTGGGACAAATGTATCATTTCATCTTTCAACACTAAAATGGGGTGAGTCAACGGGATTTCCTCCTTCCCCACACCTCTCTAGGCCCCCTCACTCAGCACCTGGGTCTTCTGAGCCACAATGAGCTTACCACCTATATTCTATCCCTCCACCTCCCAAAGAGTTCTGCACTTCATACAAATTACCTAAACCACTCTTAGGGCTGGAGATGAAAGTTTGCAGACAATGGATCCCAAACAATGTATTTCCCCATTTAAACCCATTTCTCTATACAAAGCCATTCTTCCCTCTAGCTAGATTTTAAGATGAGAAGTCTTTTCTTATACATAACATTTTTTTCCTAAATAACAACCCATAATAATAAGGCTGTTGATGCAGCAGGTGTAATGGATCAGAGGAAAGGTGACAGGGGAATCTTTACCTATTTTTATATAATTAACTCTCTGAATTTATTCTAAAAAAAATATTACCTTTTTTGGGATTTCTCTCTCCTAAGATTTGACACATAATTTAATATTAATTTGTTCCAATAGCTAGTTTTATCTACTTTGGAAAATGATGTCAAAATAGCTTTTTATTTTATTTCTCCCACCAAACATGGAAGAAGCTAAGTGAGTTCACTCACCAGGAGAGAGTTAAAAAAAATAGTGGTTTGCACCTAAATAAAAACACCAGATTAATAATAATAAGGTATATTTAAATTTGAGAAAAGAAATTTTAAATGTTGAAAGATGAAAAAATTTTTAGTGGGATAAGAATAGATGTGGGTGTTTCTGCCTAACTTAGATTGCACATAAAAAATAAATTTTGGAATCTCACTAACACTGCTCGAATTTGTTTTAAAGGACTATCCACAGAGTAAGTACCTAAGAAGGATTTTAAGAACTCATTTGATACAAGAACAGTAGTTGATTCCCAGAGAAAGTTGAATATGGATAAAATTTTTTTTTTTACACATCACATAGAAAATAAGAAGTTTCATATTTAATTTTTGAAAGGAGAAAGCAGCCTTCAGAGGAGATTGCAGCCTGAGGACCAAGGACTTCCATCCCAACCAATGACCGGAAGACAAATATAGCTATACGTGTCACTTATTTTTTTTGGAAGCACCATTGAAAGAGAAGGGGGAATAGAGGTAACCCCATGAGGAGACTCTCACCAACACACAGAAGAAGAGAAAAAACTCGATATGAAACCTAAGCAATAAGAAGGGGAAAAGAAAAATGTATGATAAGTTTTCATAACTTTGACTATTCTTTTAAGAAAAAAGTAATTATTTAAAGCTAATTTAGTGATAACTGAATATATTGGCATGGACTAATTTTTTTTTAGTAAGTAGGAAGGGGGTAACCTTAAAAATTTATTTATAAAACACCCTCTTGTAAGGAAAGACAATACCCCAATGTGGGTGAGAGAAATAGTGTACAGGAGAACACAGACCCAGACTTCAGTTATTTCTATTTCAAATGTAATTTGTTTTGACAAGCTCTAAAGTAAAATTACTTAAGGAGACAAGTTGTGTAACCTTTTACCCAATTAGACTGTATGGGTCACTGAGTTCCCCTCTTCTCTGCAAAGCGAAGATGTATAATGTCTGTCAGGAGATGGCCACGATTCTTTTTATGAATGGTAATGGAAGCATGAGGCAAGAGGTAGCTTGGTTTTGTGTGTTGGGGAGGAAGGAATTGGCTGCCCGTTATTTTTATGGGAGCTGAGACCCCTTTTTGTTTTTTAAGGAAGCCCATTGTCACAGCTCAGCCTTTTAACCCTCAAGCCAGGCTATGGAAACCTCCCCAAAACTGTCCTTAGATTTCATTCATTTTTGAGATCTTTGGGATTCAGCCCTCCACAGTGCATGTGGCTCACAGCAACCAATATTTTAACAAAACTGTGTGTTTAATGGGACTTTTCCAAACTGACTATTTCCAAACTTTTCCAAAGTCTGCCTCACTTGAAATAGATCAGGCCACATTGTCTGTACCTAATGCATAATTCACACCTGATTTGCCTGGAGACTTCAGGGGAGTGACCGCAATGTGGGGAGATCTGGAATTGTCAACCATGAAGACCAAGGTAAAGGTGGAAGCCCTTTTGCACCAGGAACCTGTCTAAGAAAGACATTCCAGGATTCCCAGACTGATCCCGTCTGGAGAAGGAGGTTGTAACATCAACACCAGGCTGTGCCAGCCTTGACCTGTCTCCTCTTACCTGAGAGCACTTGCGAATATGGAGTATTGAGCCGGCGACCCCATCGCCTGGTTCCTTGACTGCAGCTCTAGATCCTACTCCGTGGAAGTCCAAAGAGCTGCAGAGTTGGATTCATTTGTCAGTTTCAATATCTGATTGTTACTTGTTCTAGTTTTTATCAACTTGGGAGCCATTCCATCCTTCCTGTTCTACTCCGGTGGTACAGTGGGGTCAGTGCTTGCAGGTGTGTATGAAACCTGTCGCATCCATGCAGGAAAGGAGCTAAAAAGAATAATTCCCAAACCTAAATAATCCTAAAATGCTGCCCTACAATGTCAGTGCACACATGCTCCTCGTTCTGTGAAAGTGGTCAAAGAACCTAAGCTGTCGGATACATTAAAATTCTGTTAAAATTCTGTGTATTAAAGTCTGTGTCCGTATTAAGGTTTTTATCTATAGAAGTCACTGGGAGAAGGTTAGCCACATACTGGTGAGATCTAAGGTGGAAGCTCTGAAGTTGTGGCTTAAATGTGAACAATAATTTGGTGTTAGAATTGAAATATTCAAGCAGCTGAGTGTGGATCGCACGGCCTGGGTGAAGTTCTGTGATTGGGATTAATAACTAAATGGACAGCTGCCTCCTCAGTTCCTGTTTCAGGATTTAACAAAGGTTCATTTTCTGCTGTATTGTTGTGATAATTTGGCTAAAGTGATGACTTGAGTCCAAAGCAAGATCGTTATTTACTGACAGATTTTCTGATCTGACCTGAACATGATCACTGTGTTGTACACTCGAGAGCTAGCTGGGTGGTGTTAATAGTTTAGGGTTAGTGACCTGTGTTCTTCATTTTATTTGTTTCTTCATTTTAATTAAATGTATAAAAGGGATATTTTTGAGTCATGTCTTTCAATAAGCTCCATGGGCGAGAATCGTGGAGTATCTGGGTGGAGATCAGCTGATGGACCACGGAGCCTTATCAGCTCCCTCTACATTAACCCTTTGGTTCTCATATGGGAGCAGCTGGGGGAGTGGGGGGTACCCATCTCAGCTCTGGCTGCATCCTAGGAAGTCAGAGCATCGCAAGGGGAAATGAGCTCCCCCTGCGCAGCCTTTCGGGAGCATGGAGTGGGGGCAGGGGAGGGGGGCCGGGGCAGTGTGTCTCCCTGATGAGAGATTGCTGGAAGGGCCGGGGTATCTCTAAACAGGTGGTGGTTGGTGGATTTCTCTGCTGTCACTATCATGGCCAGACCCAGCCGCCACACCGGTCTGGCTTGCCCTGGGCTTGTGTCTGATCAGGCCGAGGTGAGGTTGGGGGTCTGGTTTGAAAGGTTATAAATGGAGGTGAAAGGGGCCAAGCAAGCCAGAAATGTGCTGAGATGGCTCCGGCTTGCTTGGCCTCTGTCCCCAGCATCCGGCCTGGTCAGGGAGCGGAGGGGGCGGGCTGCCACTGCCCCCTCCCCAGCCGGGCTCTCTCGCAGGCAGCTGCTGCTGTGCAACCCAGAGTTAGGGTTCCCAGGTGGTCAGTTTTTCGCTGGAACGGTTGGTCAAAAACAAACCCTGGTGGCACCAGTCTGCACCTCTGACTGAGCTGTTAAAAGTCCGGCCAGCGGCGCAGCAGGGCTAAAGCAGGCTCCCTGTTTGTCCTGGCTCCGCAGCTCCCATTGGCCAGGAATTGAGGGCTGGGGGCGGCACCTGTGGGCATAGGCAGCGTGGATGGAGCAGAGCCACCTGGCCGCGCCTCTGCGTAGGGGCCTGTAACGATGCCTTCACTTGCGCTTGCACAAATCAAGTCAGAGACCCCCTCCACGTGCAATCACTGGTGCTTCTTTTATTACGTGTCAGCTCCCACCACCTTCTATTTACAGACATGTAAACCAGCAACCTGGGGGACAGTGAGCTTCTCCAGCCAGCAGGCATGCACAGCCTGTGACTTCTCCCTTTCCTTTCCCCCTTTCACTTCCTGCCTGCCAGTGTTATATAGCCCCCGGCTAATAAGGCCCGCAGGTGCTCCTCTTTCACCAATTAGGCATGTCCTATTCAGCCAGCCCCAATTAATCCTTCTTAATTGGAGCTGGGCTAATAGGGCCTCCTGGCTAGCACGCTGTTACAGGCTGGACATGCCGGTTGCTTCTGGGAGCAGTGGAGAGCCAGGGTAGGTAGAGAGCCTGCTTTAGCCCCACTGCGCAGCCACCTGAGGTAAGTGCCACCCAGCCACATCCTGAACTTCCAGTCCCAGGTCGGAACCCCCTCCCACACCCCAACTCACTCCCAGAGCCCACACCTCCTCCCAATCCCATACCCCAACCCAGAGCCCCCTCCTGCATTCTAAATCCCTCGGCCCCAGCCCGGAGTCCCTCCTGTACCCCAAACCCCTCATCCCTGGCCCCATCCCAGAGCCCTCACCCCCTCCTGCACCCCAACACCCGGTTTCAGCCCGGAGCCCCCTCCCGCACCCACAACCCCTCATTTCTGGCCACATCCCAGAGCCTGCACCAGTGAAAAGTGAGAGAGGGTAGGGGAGAGCGAGCGACCGAAGGAGTGGGGGGGCTGGAGTGAGTGGGGCGTGGCCTTGGGGAAGGGGCGGGGTGGCGCAAGGGTGTTCGGTTTTGTGCAACTACAAAGTTGGCAAGCCTTCGCCGAGTGGCCACCCTCTACTGGTGTGAGAAGTGGCTCTGTCCCACCCCCTTCTTCTGCTGAGGTGCCTGCAAGGGTGCTGGAGCTCCGACCAGACGCTGTGGTGCTCTGAGTCTCCCTGGGCCGGGGCCAGCCCAGAGACGTGTTCCCCGCTCCTGTGGCCCCAGCCCCCAGGATTCACTGCCCTGTCCAGGGATGTGGGGTTGGAAGGTGTCCCCCCCCAACCCATGTTTACATTGTGCCCTTCCTGTATCAGGAGGTACGAGTCGTCTCTACTGCGAGGGGTAGCTTGTCCTCTACAGTAACATTATTTGGAAGGGGGTGTCCTGACTTCAGAGCGGACAACTGCTCTCCCTCCCCCTGCTCCTGTGATACCCACCCAGCTCTTTGGTGCAAGAATGTTTATTCTTCAGGGGAAAGCATTGCCCAGAAAACATTAAAAACAAGGTAGGAACCAGAGATCACCCCAGCTCCAGCAAGGGCTCTGGTTGGGGATTTGTCCTTCAAACCTCACCACGGCTTTTTCTATGGTCACAACAACCTTCGCTCAGCACAAGTCCCCACCCCATTAATCTGTAGATCTCCCCTTTGTGGGGTTCTGTGATCTGGGAATGGAATCACAGGGTCACCAAAGCACGAACCTCTCCGAGGGGGGGGGGTGTCAAACGGCACATTCTGCCCCAGCCTGACTCTGGTTCCCCCAATCCCATGAGGTTTGCCTGCACAGGTTCAAATCCTGCTCACAGCAAAGGGCCAAGCACCAGTCCCATGGAAGGGCAGTGGGGGTTTGTGCTCCTAGGTCACCTTGGTGCTTTTCAGAATCCAACCTCGTGGGCTTCCCGGGAGGATGCTCAATGCCGAAGGAGAAGGGGGGGATCCCGGAGAGAAAGAGCCACATCAACACAGACTGAACGGTGAGGAAATCATAGAATCATAGAATATCAGGGTTGGAAGGGACCCCAGAAGGTCATCTAGTCCAACCCCCAGCTCAAAGCAGGACCAATTCCCAGTTAAATCATCCCAGCCAGGGCTTTGTCAAGCCTGACTGTGGCGGTTCAGTGATGAGACAGAACACAGCTTTTTGCAAGCAAGCAGGCTGGTCAGCTGAGATGGGCGTTCTGCCCCCCCGCCTTCCACCTTCTCCTTTTATTATATTTCTCCCCCCTAAGCATTACACACTGCTACCACAAAAAGATACACAAAGGAATGTATGACGTTGATTAATATACTTAGTTGCATCTATATCTACTACAATCCTGGTTCTCAGGCCTTGAGCCCAGGCTAAGAAAGCCTCCCACAATTGCTGTCCAAACAATCAAGTTCTCATGGTTCATGTCTAGCCCTTGTCCTTGGATAGAGCAATGTGTGCATTGCTTCTACGAAACAGTCAGGGTGTGCCCCGCCTGCTTCCAGGTGGAATAGCTAAACATTAACCCTTCATCTGACCTTAAAAACCTCTAAGGAAGGAGATTCTACCACCTCCCTAGGTAACGCATTCCAGTGTTTCACCACCCTCTTAGTGAAAAAGTTTTTCCTAATATCCAATCTAAACCTCCCCCACTGCAACTTGAGACCATTACTCCTCATTCTGTCATCTGATACCATTGAGAACAGTCTAGAGCCATCCTCTTTGGAACCCCCTTTCAGATAGTTGAAAGCAGCTATCAAATCCCCCCTCATTCTTCTCTTCTGCAGGCTAAACAATCCCAGCTCCCTCAGCCTCTCCTCATAACTCATGTGTTCCAGTCCCCTAATCATTTTTGTTGCCCTTCGCTGGACTCTCTCCAATTTATCCACATCCTTCTTGAAGTGTGGGGCCCAAAACTGGACACAGTACTCCAGATGAGGCCTCACCAATGTCGAATAGAGGGGAACGATCACGTCCCTCGATCTGCTCGCTATGCCCCTACCTATACATCCCAAAATGCCATTGGCCTTCTTGGCAACAAGGGCACACTGCTGACTCATATCCAGCTTCTCGTCCACTGTCACCCCTAGGTCCTTTTCCGCAGAACTGCTGCCTAGCCATTCGGTCCCTATGGGGTGGGGGAAGCAGGCAGAGGTTACAGAGAAGTCTCTTTACACACAACAGGGAGCAGGAGGCAAGTGCAGCATGTTTAGGATGATGGTGGTGGAGAGAAAAAAGGCTGGATTCAATGCACGATGAGACCAAAGGAGGGGAAGGCGAGTAGCAGCTCCACACAGGACCACAGTGCTCAGAGACCCCAGTGCTGGGCACCCTGACTGTCCTAGCTAGAGAGAACTGGCAAACAGGGACCCATCCCCCCGCCATGCTCCTCTCCTGGCAGAAGGCCCCTTGGAGCAGTAGGAACTGGATTGGGAGTGGGGGGCCCTGGGGAGAGAGGGCAGCTGAAGTCCCTCAGATATCTGGGAACTAGGCACTGCACAATGAACGGGCTTCACACCTGTCACAGCCGGGACTGAGGGGCAGCAGCAGCTGGTAGGGTCTGCGAGCAGGACTGGGGAAAAGACGAGCAGATGGGCCAGATCCCCAGCTGATGTTAATCACCCTGGCTCCACTGGAGTAAATGGGCCAGAACCTCAGCCGGTGTAAACGTCTTTTACTCCAGTGATGACAACTTCTCTATTTCCCTCATGTTTCATTGAACCAGCTCGCTTCCCTGTTCAGGCTAAACTTTTTGTCATCTAGATGGTTGTGACATTCCCCTCTGGTGTTATCTGGACTGGTGATCTGCTGGGCCTCTCCAATCTTTGACTCTGGGAGCCAGCCTGACCCTGCTCTGCTGTGAGAACCCCCACTTCTGGGCTGGTCACACAGGGCCTCTGGCATGTCAGCTGCTCCCAGCTACCTGCAAGCAAATGACACTAGCTAATATCTCGGTCCCAGACACAAACCTAGGAACCTCCGTCTTGCAGTGTCCAGTTATGCCCGGTGGACGCTGCAACCTAATAGGAGTTTGTCAATTTAACAAAGAAATAGATACGTTGTTATACCAATAAAATAAAAACCAGGAAGATCTTATTGAAGGGGAAAAGGCAAAATGCCACATTTATTGTGAATACAGAAAGAATCATAGTAAGCAGTTAAAAAGAAAAGGAGTACTTGTGGCACCTTAGAGACTAACCAATTTATTTGAGCATAAGCTTTCGTGAACTACAGCTCACTTCATCGGATGCATACTGTGGAAAATACAGAAGATGTTTATATACATACAGACCATGAAAAAATGAGTGTTTACCACTACAAAAGGTTTTCTCTCCCCCTACCCCACTTTCCTGCTGGTAATAGCTTATCTAAAGTGATCACTCTCCTTACAATATGTATGATAATCAAGGTGGGCCATTTCCAGCACAAATCCAGGGTTTAACAAGAATGTCAGAGGAACGGGGGCGGAGGGGGTTAGGAAAAAACAAGGGGAAATAGGTTACCTTGCATAATGACTTAGCCACTCCCAGTCTCTATTCAAGCCTAAGTTAATTGTATCCAATTTGCAAATGAATTCCAATTCAACAGTCTCTCGCTGGAGTCTGATTTTGAAGTTCTTCTGTTGTAATATCGCAACTTTCATGTCTGTAATTGCGTGACCAGAGAGATTGAAGTGTTCTCTGACTGGTTTATGAATGTTATAATTCTTGACGTCTGATTTGTGTCCATTTATTCTTTTACGTAGAGACTGTCCAGTTTGACCAATGCACATGGCAGAGGGGCATTGCTGGCACATGATGGCATATATCACATTGGTGGATGTGCAGGTGAACGAGCCTCTGATAGCGTGGCTGATGTTATTAGGCCCTGTGATGGTGTCCCCTGAATAGATATGTGGGCACAGTTGGCAACGGGCTTTGTTGCAAGGATAGGTTCCTGGGTTAGTGGTTCTGTTGTGTGGTATGTGGTTGCTGATGAGTATTTGCTTCAGGTTGGGGGGCTGTCTGTAGGCAAGGACTGGCCTGTCTCCCAAGATTTGTGAGACTGATGGGTCGTCCTTCAGGATAGGTTGTAGATCCTTAATGCGTTGGAGGGGTTTTAGTTGGGGGCTGAAGGTGACGGCTAGTGGTGTTCTGTTATTTTCTTTGTTAGGCCTGTCCTGTAGTAGGTGACTTCTGGGAACTCTTCTGGCTCTGTCAATCTGTTTCTTCACTTCAGCAGGTGGGTATTGTAGTTGTAAGAATGCTTGATAGAGATCTTGTAGGTGTTTGTCTCTGTCTGAGGGGTTGGAGCAAATGCGGTTGTATCGCAGAGCTTGGCTGTAGACGATGGATCGTGTGGTGTGGTCAGGGTGAAAGCTGGAGGCATGTAGGTAGGAATAGCGGTCAGTAGGTTTCCGGTATAGTGTGGTGTTTATGTGACCATTGTTTATCTCTTGTGTGGACTGGACCAGGCTGAGGTTGATGGTGGGATGGAAATTGTTGAAATCATGGTGGAATTCCTCAAGGGCTTCTTTTCCATGGGTCCAGATGATGAAGATGTCATCAATATAGCGCAAGTAGAGTAGGGGCGTTAGGGGACGAGAGCTGAGGAAGCGTTGTTCTAAGTCAGCCATAAAAATGTTGGCATACTGTGGGGCCATGCGGGTACCCATAGCAGTGCCGCTGATCTGAAGGTATACATTGTCCCCAAATGTGAAATAGTTATGGGTAAGGACAAAGTCACAAAGTTCAGCCACCAGGTTAGCTGTGACATTATCGGGGATAGTGTTCTTGACGGCTTGTAGTCCATCTTTGTGTGGAATGTTGTATAGAGGGCTTCTACATCCATAGTGGCCAGGATGGTGTTATCAGGAAGATCACCGATGGATTGTAGGTTTCAGAGTAACAGCCGTGTTAGTCTGTATTCGCAAAAAGAAAAGGAGTACTTGTGGCACCTTAGAGACTAACCAATTTATTTGAGCATAAGCTTTCGTGAGCTGTAGCCACAAGTACTCCTAAGGTGCCACAAGTATTTCTTTTCTTTTTTCGATGGATTGTAGTTTCCTCAGGAAGTCAGTGGTGTCTCGAAGGTAGCTGGGAGTGCTGGTAGCGTAGGGTCTGAGGAGGGAGTCTACATAGCCAGACAATCCTGCTGTCAGGGTGCCAATGCCTGAGATGATGGGGCGCCCAGGATTTCCAGGTTTATGGATCTTGGGTAGTAGATAGAATATCCCAGGTCGGGGTTCCAGGGTTAGTTATAGCTATAACATTCCATTCAATTTCATATTTATTCTCATACACACACACAGGTTCTGCAAGGTTGTTATCATAGTTACCAGCCTTAGAACTGCTCATGCCAAGCCACTGGCCAGGTGGCCTGGACATGAGGAGGGAGCAGGGCTTTGTCAGATGCACATCTGATACTCCTGGAAGTTGGTTAGCAGAATCAGACCCCAAAGTTCTCACTTTCTAGAGTCCATTTTTATAGGAATTTATTCCTATGCCAGTCTATGGGAATTGCTTCATTATGCTGTCGCTGAATCAATCAGCAGATGGCACATTCCTGATGGCTCCATGCTGCCAGATGTTATCTTGTTCTTCGGTTCTCCCATCCTTGAGGCTGCTGGGTGGATTCCAGTCTGCCTTCGGGGGTCCTCTGGTTGTTTCCACTTGACGCCTTTTTTCAGCCGATGGACACTGCATTCTTAGGCTGGCACCTCCCTGATCATTCAGTTATTATCCACACCAAGCATCCATCCACATACATCCTCTATCTTTATTTTAATCATAATTGTTAACAAAGCGAGATGAATACAACAAAAGGGTGGGGAGTCTCTGGGTGCTGTTTCTGTTTTTACAGAGTATTGCTTTGAGTCTCTCTCTGTGTGAGTAGTTGTTGTTACAAAGAATTGCTTTGAGAACAGACTCTGTCTTAGAACGTACTAACACAATTAGCAGCTTGCAAGTTTCACACAGAGAGGGAGAGAAACAGTACCAAAAACCAAGAGACCTCTTAATTAGTAATACCCTGGAATTTAAACTATGGGGAATCAAACTCATTTGTGATTTTAATACAGAACTTCTTTAATATGATCCAACATGAGAACCCCCATTCCTGGGCCGTTCACGCACCGCCTCTGGCATGTAAGCTGCTCCCAGCTACTTGCAAGCAAATGACACTAGCTAATATCTCCGGTGCCAGACACAACCCTAGGAACCTCCATCTTGCAGTGTCCAGTTATGCCCACTGGACACTGCAACCTAAGATGCAACCTGCTGCTTGCCAGGAGCTAAGATTCGCGATGTGACGGAGAGACTGCCGAGACTCATCAAGCCCTCGGATCGCTACCCTTCCTGCTTCTCCACATGGGCACCAAGGATACTGCCAAGAATGACCTTGAGCGGATCACTGTGGACTACGTGGCTCTGGGAAGAAGGATAAAGGAGTATGAGGCGCAAGTGGTCTTCTCGTCCACCCTCCCCATGGAAGGAAAAGGCCTGGGTAGAGACAGTCGAATCGTGGAAGTCAATGAATGGCTACGCAGGTGGTGTCAGAGAGAAGGCTTTGGATTCTTTGACCATGGGATGGTGTTCCAAGAAGGAGTGCTAGGCAGAGACGGGCTCCATCTAACGAAGAGAGGGAAGAGCATCTTCGCAAGCAGGCTGGCTAACCTAGTGAGGAGGGCTTTAAACTAGGTTCACCGGGGGAAGGAGACCAAAGCCCTGAGGTAAGTGGGGAAGTGGGATACCGGGAGGAGGCACGAGCAGGAGCACGTGAGAGGGGAGGGCTCCTGCCTCATACTGAGAAAGAGGGGCGATCAGCAGGTTACCTCAAATGCCTATATACAAATGAATGAAGCCTGGGAAACAAGCAGGGAGAACTGGAAGTCCTGGCACAGTCAAGGAATTATGATGTGATTGGAATAACAGAGACTTGGTGGGATAACTCACATGACTGGAGTACCGTCGTGGATGGATATAAGCTGTTCAGGAAGGGCAGAAAAGGTGGGGGAGTAGCACTGTATGTAAGGGAGCAGTATGACTGCTCAGAGCTCAAGTATGAAACTGCAGAAAAACCTGAGAGTCTCTGGATTAAGTTTAGAAGTGTGAGCAACAAGGGTGATGTCGTGGTGGGAGTCTACTATAGACCACCGGACCAGGGGGATGAGGTGGACGAGGCTTTCTTCCGGCAACTCGCAGAAGTTACTAGATCACAGGCCCTGGTTCTCATGGGAGACTTCAAATCACCCTGATATCTGCTGGGAGAGCAATACAGCGGTGCACAGGCAATCCAAGAAGATTTTGGAAAGCGTAGGGGACAATTTCCTGGTGCAAGTGCTGGAGGAACCAACTAGGGGCAGAGCTCTTCTTGACCTGCTGCTCACAAACCGGGAAGAATTAGTAGGGGAAGCAAAAGTGGATGGGAACCTGGGAGGCAGTGACCATGAAATGGTCGAGTTCAGGATCCTAACACAAGGAAGAAAGGAGAGCAGCAGAATACGGACCCTGGACTTCAGAAAAGCAGACTTGACTCTCTCAGGGAACTGATGGGCAGGATCCCCTGGGAGAATAACATGAGGGGGAAAGGAGTCCAGGAGAGCTGGCTGTATTTTAAAGAATCCTTATTGAGGTTACAGGGACAAACCATCCCGATGTGTAGAAAGAATAGTAAATATGGCAAGCGATCAGCTTGGCTTAACAGTGAAATCATTGCTGCTCTTAAATACAAAAAAGAAGCTTACAAGAAGTGGAAGATTGGACAAATGACCAGGGAAGAGTATAAAAATATTGCTCGGGCTTGCAGGAGTGAAATCAGGAGGGCCAAATCACACCTGGAGTTGCAGCTAGCAAGAGATGTTAACAGTAACAAGGGTTTCTTCAGGTATGTTAGCAACAAGAAGAAAGCCAAGGAAAGTGTGGGCCCCTTACTGAATGAGGGAGGCAACCTAGTGACAGAGGATGTGGAAAAAGCTAATGTACTCAAGGCTTTTTTTGCCTCTGTCTTCACGAACAAGGTCAGCTCCCAGACTACTGCACTGGGCAGCACAGCATGGGGAGAAGGTGACCAGCCCTCTGTGGTGAAAGAAGTAGTTCAGGACTATTTAGAAAAGCTGGACGAGCACAAGTCCATGGGGCCGGATGCGTTGCATCCGAGAGTGCTAAAGGAATTGGTGGATGTGATTGCAGAGCCATTGGCCATTATCTTTGAAAACTCATGGCTATCGGGGGAGGTCCCATATGACTGGAAAAAGGCTAATGTAATGCCCATCTTTAAAAAAGGGAAGGAGGAGGATCTTGGGAACTACAGGCCAGTCAGCCTCACCTCAGTCCCTAGAAAAATCATGGAGCAGGTCCTCAAGGAATCAATTCTGAAGCACTTAGAGGAGAGGAAAATGATCAGGAACAGTCAGCATGGATTCACCAAGGGCAAGTCATGCCTGACTAATCTAATTGCCTTCTATGACGAGATAACTGGCTCTGTGGATGAAGGGAAAGCAGTGGACGTGTTGTTCCTTGACTTTAGCAAAGCTTTTGACGCGGTCTCCCACAGTATTCTTGCCAGCAAGTTAAAGAATCATAGAATATCAGAATCATAGAATCATAGATGCACATTCGGTGCATTGGATTCTTCCATCCTAAGTGCAGGACCCTGCACTTATCCTTATTGAACCTCATCAGATTTCTTTTGGCCCAATCCTCCAATTTGTCTAGGTCCGTCTGTATCCTATCCCTACCCTCCAGCGTATCTACCACTCCTCCCAGTTTAGTATCATCCGCAAATTTGCTGAGAGTGCAATCCACACCATCCTCCAGATCATTTATGAAGATATTAAAGAAGTATGGGCTGGACGAATAGACTATAAAGTGGATAGAAAGCTGGCTAGATTGTTGGGCTCAACAGGTAGTGATCAATGGCTCCATGTTTAGTTGGCAGCCAGTATCAAGTGGAGTGCCCCAGGGGTCGGTCCTGGGGCCAGTTTTGTTCAATATCTTCATAAATGATCTGGAGGATGGTGTGGATTGCACCCTGAGCAAGTTTGCAGATGATACTAAACTGGGAGGAGTGGTAGATACGCTGGAGGGTAGGGATAGGATACAGACGGACCTAGACAAATTGGAGGATTGGGCCAAAAGAAATCTGATGAGGTTCAATAAGGATAAGTGCAGAGTCCTGCACTTAGGATGAAAGAAGTCCAGGCACTGCTACAGACTAGGGACCGAATGGCTCGGCAGCAGTTCTGCAGAAAAGAACCTAGGGGTTACAGTGGACTAGAAGTTGGATATGAGTCAACAGTGTGCCCTTGTTGCCAAGAAGGCCAGTGGCATTTTGGGATGTATAAGTAGGGGCATTGCCAGCAGATCGAGGGACGTGATCGTTCCCCTCTATTTGACATTGGTGAGGCCTCATCTGGAGTACTGTGTCCAGTTTTGGGCCCCACACAATAAGAAGGATGTCGAAAAATTGGAAAGAATCCAGCGGAGGGCAACAAAAATGATTAGGGGACTGGAACACATGACTTATGAGGAGAGGCTGAGGGAACTGGGATTGTTTAGTCTGCAGAAGAGAAGAATGAGGGGGGATTTGATAGCTGCTTTCAACTACCTGAAAGGGGGTTCCAAAGAGGATGGCTCTAGACTGTTATCAGTGGTAGCAGATGACAGAACAAGGAGTAATGGTCTCAAGTTACAGTGGGGGAGATTTAGGTTGGATATTAGGAAAAACTTTTTCACTATGAGGGCGGTGAAACACTGGAATGCGTTACCTAGGGAGGTGGTGAAATCTTGTTCCCTAGAAGTTTTCAAGGTCAGGCTTGACGAAGCCCTGGCTGGGATGATTTAGTCGGGGATCGGTCCTGCTTTGAGCAGGTCGTTGGACTAGGTGACCTCCTGAGGTCCGTTCCAACCCTGATATTCTTTGATTCTATGAGTTAGTCAATTTAACAAAGAAATTGATACGTACCAGGCTTGTCAGAGTTCCCCCTTGGGAGAACGTACTTCAAACCAAACGCACTGCTTCCGGTAGAACAAACAAATTTATTAACTATAAAGGTAGATTTAAGTGTTTATAAGTCAAAGCATAAGAAGTCAGATTTGGTAAAATGAAATGAAAGCAAAGAGCTTTCTAAGCCGCCCTTAGCACTTTCAGTGCCCTTAAAAACTTAGAAGCTTCTCACCACGGGCTGGCTGGCTGCCCTTCAGCCAGGCTCTCCCCTGTGATCAGAGCTTCAGTCGCATGGTGGTGGAGGTGTCTGTAGATGAAGGTGGAAGAGAGAGGACGTGGCATGGCAAACGTCTCTCTCTTTTAGCATGTCCTTTCCTCCCTCTTGGCTTTGCCCCCCCATTTTAGTCAGGTGAGCATTACCTCATTGCAGTCCCATACACATGAAATTATTACCTATAACATTACTGTAACAATGACTATAAGATCATTATCACAACCATGCTCAGTGCATCATGAGCCTTCCAAAGACACCCAACATGACAAACTTTGCATTGGATACCTGTCATGGAGTCGCCGGGCGAAGCTCTGGAACTGCTCCCTACGAAGCCCGGCAGGACTCTGGAGAAGTGTCCTCTCTGGGAGCAGACTGTCTCCAGGGCAAACAGCTCACATGTCTTCCACCTTCCTGGGTCTGACCTCGAAGCATTCAGCATCCTCTGACCCTCCATGAGCTTCCCACGAGTCCGCCCAGGCGGGGTCCTGGGGAAGCCAGAGGGTCCTGCCCCCAACTTCGCAGTCAGACGTGACTCTCAGCCAGCCAGTAAAACAGAGGTTTATTAGACGACAGGAACATGGTCTAACACAGAGCTTGTAGGTGCAGAGAACAGCACCCCTCAGCTGGGTCCACTTTGGGGGGCAGTGAGCTAGACAACCACCTCTGCACTTCACTCCTCGTCCCAGCCCCCAACTGACTCCCCCTCTAGCCCCTCCTCCTCTGGGCTTTGTCCCTTTCCCGGGCCAGGAGGTCACCTGAGTCCTTTGTTCTCCAACCCTTTAGCTATCACCTTGCAGGGGGGAAGGGCCCAGGCCATCAGTTGCCAGGAGACAGAGTGTCGGCCATTTATGTACACTGGCCCTTTGCAACAATCACACCCCCTTATCCCACAACCTAGAGACTTAAGAAATGCATATGGGAAACTGAGGCACCCCTACAGTATTCAGAGGAAATTTAAGAACAGTCCCACTTCGTCACAATACCACACAATCATTTTATGACGATGAACATGGGCGTGTAGGTACAGAGCGTCACAGTGGTATTCACCCCCGAGCATCCTCGATCTCTAGTGGCTGGCCCACATGCAGGAGAACAGCCAACTGCCCTCAGTTACACCACTCGCTCAAGGGGCAGAGGTCTGCAAATGGCCCTGTTCTGCTGACCCCACCCCTGGGACCCCGGTCACAACTCCTCATCAAAGGGGCTCCCAAAACACAGAGACAGTAACCCCATCCCCCAGAAAGTAAAGGCTCCGGCCAAAGGGGAAGTCACCTGGTCGTTAACCACAGAGAGTCACCCAGACACAGTGAGAGTTGTAGGAAGGCCCAGACCGGTGAGCATGGACTGGCGGGTTTCAGCGCAGTAAGGGATAGGATGGACCGGGCGTGTAGACATTACTACAGCAATGGAAAGGGTTCTCCCATTCCCATAGGTCATCCACCACCCAAGGGGCAGTAGGAAGGTTGATGGAAGCATTATTTTCTGTTTAAAGATCAATTATTCTAACTAAACTAAAAGGCATGTGTTTATTCAAATTGTCTTGATATTTTCTGGGGTTTACGGGCATTCAGGGAAGGGTTATTTGTCCAAATATGGATCTGTTTGATCATGAGGTTCCTGAGATACAGCCTTGCCACCAGAGGCAGCTTTTTACAAAGTCATCTTGCTCTTTTAACATTTCACTGCTCACAGCTGGGGCTGAAACTACGTTTCTCCTTGTTCCCTTATGGATCTCGGTCACTTGGCATTATTAGTACATAGCCCCCACTGCCTCTTTGGGAAACCAGGACTGAAAAAGTCAATACCTGCAGGAGTTGGAGTTTCAGAGCAGCACAAGTCAAACTGGTGAGTCACGGACATTGAAATGCAGACAGGCTGCAAGACTAAGTCCCTGTTAACTGCTAGAGAGTTTCCCCAATCTGCTGTCACAGTAAAGCGTTGGCTCAAGGGGATGTGCTGTGGACATTGAACCTAAACTACACCCATGAATCTGAGATTGAACCCTACTTCTGGTAGCTTTCAGACAATATGCATTGTGCATTTTTCTTGCATTTTGTAGAAGTTCCTCTTGAAAGTTTTGCCCTCCGATTCCAAAATGTTTGGGTTAAAAGTAATAGTTTAAAGTGCTCTGAAATCCACATGCAGACCTTTGCTCGGTCTGTACTTAAAACTTTTAACAGCGTAGCTGTGTCAGTTACGGGTGTGAAAAATCACACCACTAACCAATGTTCCCTCGAATATTTTCCATCCACGTGCGGGTTGAATTTTGTTATGTGCTCCACCAGCATTGAGGTAATGTGTGGGTGCGCGCTACCAGTTCAAACAAAACCCTAGATAGAATATATATTCTTAAACAGTTCCTAGGTATGGAGGAAGAAGAAAGAATATTAAAACAAGGGATAATTATCAAGGTGCACTGCTTAAGATGTGTATTTAATATGAAATCAAATAAAAAGAAAATGGACACTGCCCTTGGAGTACATGTATTTTATCATCCTTTCTAACAACTCAAGCTAGTAAACACACCCAAATGTGGCCTACTGAAAACAGCTATAGAAATAAAACAAAGCCATGGGCACTTAGTAAAAGCATAAGAAGTATGCACCGGAGACCCAATTTAATAACCTCCTCCTACCATACAGCCTGATCACTAAATCTTCAGGGAAAGCTGCTCTCAAAAAATGAAGCATCTGCCAAAACACTAGCATGCTACCGACTTTCGCAGTTCCCCAAACTATCCCTCTTGCATGCATATTATCTGCGCACACAGCCCAGCTTTAAGATGCTAAACAAATCTATGAGTCAACTAGAAACAGTCATGCTCTCATCGCAAATATTAATACAATATTGTCTGATACTGGAAAGGAGAGTAGAAGGTATTCACTCAGGCTTATACCATTTCTATGGGATGTCAATTCTTAACTTGATGAATATTTCACACACGTAGAACAGGAAAAAGAAGTAATAAAGCAACACAGACAGCAAACAAAACCCCGAACAAACAAGTGACAACACTGAAAATACAAAGGGAAGTAAAACAGCAACTGGCTGGTGATGGGTATTTTAAATGAGTGTCCAGGACCCACACTGTGCAAGTGCAACAGAGCCCTGCAGAAACAGGCAAAGTTCTCCTGTTTTCATATTGTGTGTGTGTGTGTGTGTCACCAACTCAGAAACTCAGAGCAGAAGCCCTGGAGCAGACTGACACATGGCTTCGGAGTTTACAGACAGATCCCTGCTTCAGAGAGCTTGCAAGTAAGGTCTTCATCCTACAAAACACCTATTCCTACTTCTGAGTCAATGGGAGTACTCTGACATGCCAGAACTATACCAGGTGGAAAGCATTAAGGCCAGATCTTTGCTAATACCTCTCCCCAGACAAATTCTAAATCTTAATGGGAATCACTTCTCTGAAATCCAACTCTAATTGAAAGGCCAAACAGCATCCATGGTAAAGTTCTTCCACTTTTAACAATTTATCATGTATTAATTAGTAACATAGGATATTTTAAAAAAATCATTAAGATCTCAGTTTTCAGATACCTACAACACTCCAAAAAAATTATGTTGTTGAAAGAATCCTTGTCTTTCTAACCTTAAGCCATTAACACCCATGTAAACTTTGTCTGAAATGTAACCGTGCCAATGTCATGAGCTAGGTCTAGCCACATGCTTTTGCGCCAGTATTCATTCGCTAAAGCCCCAATCCTGCAAACGTCTATGCATGGGAGCCCTGGTAATCCACCTTCACGAGAAGCATAACACTTGCTGCGCCCCCGGCTGAAACGCCCGGGCATCAGTGTGAACGAGGTGTTGCATTACTGCGCGGTGATTGGCCTCATAAAACGTCCCATAATCCCCCAAATCAAGTGGCCACTTTTGTCACTGTTTTGAAATCGGCTACAGGAATGCGGCTATGCTCCACTTCTGACAGCTGGCTGCTTATCTGCTCTGGGACAAAGCAACCATTACTGTGGAATGCTGCTGTTGTGAGTGTGTGTGATGTGGGGGGGAGGGGGGTCTGCTGCTGTCTGAACTTACAAGACAGCATGCTGACACACTCACCCCGCCCGAAACCCACCCTCTCTCCCACCACACACACACACACACTCCCTGTCACACTCCACCCGCCGCCCCATTTGAAAAGCATGTTGCAGCCATTTGCACACCGGGATAGCTACCACAACGCACTGCTCTCTGTGGCGTTGCAAGAGCTGCTGATGTGGCCACGCCAGTGCGCTTCCAGTGACGGTGTAAACACAGGGCAGTGTTTTCCCTGCTGCAGTCTCTGAAAGCAGGTTTAACTCCCAGCGCTCTACATCTGCAAGTGTAGCCAAGCCCTAAGAGAGCAGAAATAGCATGAAAGCAGCTTCTTAAAGCAATACCAATCAAAATAAAATCACAGATCTATTTCTTTTAACCTTGGATTGCTGTAATTTACCCATCAGATCACTACAACAGAAAGATCAAAGTGTTTTTTCAATTTGTTCACTGTGTGGACTGGACAGCAGTTTCAAGCCTGATCCTGCACTTATGAAGACCTCATTCCAACCTAAAATGCAGTCTGCACTCTTTAAAAATACTCATAACTTCCTCAGAACTCTAGGAAGAGGACAGATCATTAACACGTATCTACAAAAGCAGCCTAAATGCTTTACAATAAAAAACAAACAAACCCACCAATACAAGTGGCAATGGACGCATGAGCAAATAGGTAGTTTTTCTGTTATTTTTTGCTTCACCTGTAATTTTTATGGGAGCTGGGACCCCTTTTCCTTCTTTAACAAAGCCCATTGTCACAGCTCAGACTTTTAACCCTCAAGCCGGGCTATGGAAACCTCCCCAAAACTGTCCTTGGTATTTTCACTTTGGAGAGCTTTGGGGTTCAAACCTCCACAGTGCCTGTGGTTCGGAGCAACCGATATTTTAAGAAAACTGCTGGGTTAATTCAGACTCTTCCAAACTGACAATAGCTCAAAGTCTGCCTCATGGATCAGGCCACAGTGTCTGTAACCAAGGCGTCTTTCACTCCTCACATGCCTGGAGACTTCAGCGGAGTGACCGTAATGTGGGGTGAGCTGGAATCCTCAACCATAAAGACCAAGGTAAAGGTGGAAGCCCTTTTGCACCAGCACCTGCCTAAGAAAGACGGACATTCCAGGACTCCCAGACTGATCCCCTCTGGGGAAGGAAGTTGTAACATCAACACCAGGCTGTGCCAGCCTTGACTTGTCTCCTCGTACCTGACACAGCTTGCGAATGTGGAGTACTGAGTCGGCGACCCCATCGCCTGGTTCCTTGACTGCAGCTCTAGCTCCTACTCCAGGGGAGTTGAAAGAGCTGCAGAGTTGGAATCACTTGTCAGTTTCAATATCTGATTGTTACTCTTTCAGTTTTTCAGACTTTGTGTGATGGGTTCAGTCACAGAGACCCCCTTGGGACTGTCACCTGACGTGCTGAATTTACCTCTAAGCCCATTTTCTCTGCCAGTTTGGGCCTCCAGAACCCTGCCTTGTTGAGCCAGACACGCTAGCCTGCTACAAAACAGACCTGAACCACACCCCCAAAGCTGCAGACTTAACTGAAAACAGCTCAGCAAGTGCTCCCGTCTTCAGCACCCAACGGGATCCAAACCCCAAATAAATCTGTTTTACTCTGTATAAAGCTCATACAGGGTAAACTCATAAATTGTCCGCCCTCTATAACACTGATAGAGAGATATGCACAGGTATTTGCTCCCCCAGGTATTAATCACTTACTCTGGGTTAATTGTGATTTTATCCTATAAAAAGTAGGATTTAATTGGTTCCAAGTAATAACAGAAAGAACAAAGTAAGTTACCAAGCAAAATAAAACAAAACACGCAAGTCTAAGCCTAACACATTAAGAAACTGAATACAGGTAAATCTCACCCTTAGAGATGTTCCAATAAGCTTCTTTCACAGACTAGACTCCTTCCTAGTCTGGGCCCAATTCTTCCCCGGTACAATCCTTGGTTGTTCCAGCTCAGGTGGTAACTAGGGGATTTCTCATGACTGGCAGCCTCCTTTGTTCTGCTCCACTCCCTTTTATAGCTTTGGCCCAAGGCATGACTCCTTTGTCTCTCTCTGGGTTCCCACCCCTCCTTCTAAATGGAAAAGCACCAGGTTTAAGATGGATTCCAGTATCATGTGACATGGTCACACGTCCTGTGAGACCCCAGCCTCCATTCTTCCAAGGCTGCCCAGCATCTACCCCAGGAAGGTTTGCAAGTAAACAGAGCCATGTGCAGGTGATTGATTCTGAAGCACCCTGAATGGCTTCCACTTAATATGTTTACATCAGTGATACACGTTTATGTCTTATTCTCCTGAGTCCAGACCTAGAAATAACATATGCACAAATGGGATGACCACACTCAATAGATTATGAGCTTTGTAATGGTACCTTACAAGAGACCTTTTGCATGAAGCATATTCCAGTGACATTATATATACGCTCATTAGCATATTGCCATAAAACATATGGAGTGCAAGTGACACTTTGTTTTTATCAAGTGGGAGCCATCCCACTCTTTCTATTCTACCCCAGTGGTACAGTGGGGCTCAGTGCGTGCATGGGTGTATGAAACCTGTCACATCCACAGAAGGAAGGAGCTAAAAAGAATAAGTCTCAAATCTAAATAACACTAAAATGCTGCCCTACAAAATGACTGAGCTCCTTGTTCTGCGAAAGTGGTCAAAGAACCTGAGCTTCTGGATACATACGTTAAAATTCTGTACGTTAATGGCTGTGTCTGTATTAAGGTTTTATCTGTAGAAGCCACCAGCAGAAGCTACACACTGGTGAGGTCTAAGACGGAAGCTCTGAAGTTGTGGCTTAAATGTGAGCAATAAATTGGTGTTAGAATTGAAATATTCAAGCGGCTGAGTGTGGATCGCATGGCCTGGGTGAAGTTCTGTGACTGGGATTAATAACTAAATGGACAGCTGCCTCCTTGGGTTCCTGTTTCAGGATTTATAAGGGCTGATTTTCTACTGTATAATATCTTGTTCTTTTAACATTTTATTTCACACAGCTGGGGCTGAAACTATGGTTCTCTTTGTTCCCTGACAGATCTCGGTCATTTGGCATTTATCTCTGTACTTAGCACCCACTGCCTCTTTGGGGAACCAGGACTGAAAAAGTCAATACCTGTAGGATTTGGAATTTCAGAGCAGCACAAGCCAAACTGGTGAGTCACTGACATTACAGATGGGCTGCAAGACTAAGTCCCTGTTAACTGCTAGAGGGTTTCCCCAATCTGCTGTCAGTAAAAGGTTGGTTCAAGGGGATGTGCTGTGGCCATTGAACCTAAATTGCACCCATGAATTTGAGATTGAGCCCTACATAGCTATGCCAGGAAAAGCTCTACATTACACATAGTCATAGTGGCAAAAAAATCCAGTAAACAAAATCAAGGTAATTAATGCCCATAAACTACATTAATGTGGAGTTAAGGAGGCCCACTGCTTCCTCCTGCCCTCCCAGCATGTGGATGGGAGCTAAAGTTAAACCTCTGAAAACTAGGAAATGAAGAGTTAAAGTACATGTCCTAACTGCAAAACAACCTTAACTCTGCCCCTTCCCTATCTCTGGAGTTGGCACCCACCACTGGAAACAGTTCAGTAAGGAAGGTTTACAAATTACCAGGGAAGTGGCAGCTTCAACATCTCAGGAAGTCTTTGAGTCAAGACTAGATGCCTTTCTGGAAGATGCTTTAATCCAACACAAGGCATTCAGCTCAACTTGGAAGCAAATAGACGAAATTTTCTTGCCTGTGTTATAGAAGAGGTCAGACTAGATGACCTAATCGTCACATCTGGCCATAAAAAACCCATGAATCTACAATAGATACAAGGAAGGACTAAGAGAACATGCCACTGTTTGTGTTGTGTTGCACAGACGGGAATACCGGCATTTATCTGCATGCCCTCCAGCTGTGTGCACTCTGTCATCTCTAGCTAGAATTTGTTGCTGGAGGGATTACTGGGAGCAGCTTGGCAGAGCTGTGACTGGGATATGAAGGGGGGGTGCGTGTGAAACTTGGGGCACCAAGTCTGCTCATTTCCATGCTGAGTGTTTCAGAGTAACAGCCGTGTTAGTCTGTATTCGCAAAAAGAAAAGGAGTACTTGTGGCACCTTAGAGACTAACCAATTTATTTGAGCATGAGCTTTCGTGAGCTACAGCTCACTTCATCGGTATGCATCCGATGAAGTGAGCTGTAGCTCACGAAAGCTCATGCTCAAATAAATTGGTTAGTCTCTAAGGTGCCACAAGTCCTCCTTTTCTTTATGCTGAGTGTTGTAGGTTGTGTCAGTGAAGGTGCACAAGGATGTGTTCTTGTCACATAGACGGTCAGCAGCCTGGTGGCGTATGTGTAAAGAGAAGTTGTTAGACTTTGTGCTGTACTGCTCCTGTTCCCAAAGTGTTGTGTAGCAGGGGAGGGCAGAGGGTGTCACTGTGTGTGTCACTGGCATGTCGGGGTGATGCTGAAACAGGACAGAGTAGAGGTTGCATTCTGGGGCTGGTGTGAACCTTAACTCTGCATTTCCCCTTCCAAGAACCGAGGGGACAGGAATCCTTACCCAGCGAGGTCACACTCTCATAGTTCTCCTGCATGACGTCTCCGCAGAGGGCTCTCTGAGCGGGGTCCAGCAGAGCCCCCTCTTCCCTGGTGAAATACACAGCCACCTCCTCGAAGGTCACCGGTCCCTGAAAGAGCAAGAGTCCAACACTCAGGACCTGCTGCCCCACTCACAACCCCACTATTCGTGGGGGAGAGGAGCCAATCAAATTGGAGCTCTGGGAGGCTCGCTGTCAAAAGAGTTTCAACCCCGCACAAGGCTCCGAGCATCCAGGAAACACCAGGGTGAGGGGATGAAGAGAGAGTTCCTCGTCTCTCCCAGCAGATCCATCACACGCCGACTAGCCACAGACTGATGCAGGAGATGGAGCCCTTAGCAGGGTCTAGGGAGAGCTGCCTGGTAGGAAGAGAAGGGGAAGTCAATAATTTTAGGAGAAATGGGGGAATTTATAGCTATATGTGATAACGAGAGAGAAAAGGGGAAGAAGTAGAGAGAATTTTTACCAGTATTTGAGAGGCAAGTGACACAAACAGGGAAAGGATGCAATTACCTCCCCTCCCAAACACACACTTCTCCCCCTGGAAATTCCTGGCTGCACAGAGACGGCTCAGTCCCCGGTAGTGTGAAAAACTGCTCTCTGTCTTAATGTGCTAACTGGAGCAGTTACTGATGAGTCAGGTGGGCTGAGGGGGTGTAGGTCAAACATTTCACTGCACCACCTCAGTTCCCTACATCAGACAGGGAGACGCTGCCGCGACTGGGCCGTGCCCCGCCTGGGCCTTGAAGCACCAGCCCCGGGAAGCCCATGCTGGGAGGTGGTGTCCGGGGGAGGGGAAATAAAGAAGCCCCTCTGCCCCCCATTGCAAACACTGGTGTCGCACTGGAGTGTAACTGGCCCCCCTCTGCCTGTGCCGGGCTTTTGCCCCCCTCACCCTCAGGCAGGCCTCACCCCGCAGCTTACGCCCAGTTCCTCCCCCCACGATTTTGCCCTCAGCCCCCTCCTAACCCTGCCTCCAGCTGCTTGACCCCCCGCCCTGACCTGTCAATTCCCACCCCCCCGCTCAGACCCCGGCTGCCCCCCGCTCCGATCTGCCCCCTGGCCCCTTTCTGAGCCCGGTGAAGGGCAGCCGGAGAACCGGGGGCCAAGGAAGGGCAGGCAGAAGGGCAGCGGCTTCCGCAGATGTTACTGAGCATGCTCCGTGCCCCCTAAGTAGCCAAAGCAGAGATTCCAGATAACAGCCCTGTGAGTCTGTATTCGCAAAAAGAAAAGGAGGACTTGTGGCACCTTAGAGACTAACCAATTTATTTGAGCATGAGCTCACGAAAGCTTCCCCTTTTCCTTTTGCGAAAACAGAGATTTTCACACTACGCCCCCCAGGCTTGCAAGGAGCGGGGGCTCTGCGCACTCGGGCCCCGCTGCAGCCTCCCCCTGGCCCCGCGGGGCTGGGGCGCCCTTCGCAGCCCCCGGGACCAGCCGCCCGCGGTCTGGCGCCAGGGCCGGAGGCTCAGAGCCGCACAAGCCCCGCGGGGACCGGCTGGGGCGCTTGGAGCAGCCGACCCGCCCCCCGCAGGCTCGCCCAAAGCTCGCGGGGATGGAGGAGCCCCGCCCCCCCGCAGCCCGAAAAAAGGCGACGGATGCACCGACCCCCCCGCAGCAAGGTCCCGCCTGCACCGACCCTCCCGCCGCCTCCCCCGGCCCGGCCAGGCCCCGGGCTCAGCCCCTGCAGCGGCTCCGCGACTCACAGGCACGCCGGGGCCCGGCGTCTGCAGGACCCACAGGAAGGGGCAGGAGCAGCCGGGAGCGGGGCGGGCTGGAGGAAGCAGGAGAACAAAGCCCGGAGATCGGGCCCGGGGCAGGTCCGTTCCCCGCGGGGAGCCAGCCCCGGGCTCTGCCCCCGTCCGCTCCGGAGCCAGAGACTCCAGGTGCCCGAGAGCCCCCGGGGGAAGCGCTGGGGCCGGGCAGGAAAGTGACTCTCTGCCCCGGGGAGCGCCAGACGCTGCAGCCCCCGGGGGTAGGCCCCGGCACGGCTGGGATGGGGGGGGGGGAGAGAGACTGGGGCCTGGCGGGGTTCCCCTGGGGTGTGGGGAAGGGGAAAAACCGGAGGTGCAGGGCGGGGGGAGGTCGGTCCGGCGGGGGCGTTTGAACTGTCTCTGTGCAGCCAGGAAATCCGAGGAGGAGAAGTGGGGGGGAGGGGGATGAGTTCATTGCACCCTTTCCCTATTTGTGCCACTTCGCTCTGTCACACTGCTCCAAATTCTCTCTAGTTCTTCCCCTTTTCTCTCTCATTATCCCATGTGGCTCATCAATTCCAAGGAGATCCTTCCCCTATTTCTCTTAAAATGATTGACGCTCCATTCTCTTCCTACCAGGCAGCTCTCCCTAGACCCTGCTTGGGGCCCCATCTCCTGCATGTCTCTGGTTAGTCTGTGTGATGGATCTGCTGGGAGAGACGAGGAGCTCTCTCTTCATCCCCTCACCCTGGTGTTTCCTGGATGCTCGGAGCCTTGTGGGGGGTTGAAACTCTTTTGACAGCGAGCCTCCCAGAGCTCCAATTTGATTGGCTCCTCTCCCCCACGAATAGTGGGGTTGTGAGTGGGGCAGCAGGTCCTGAGTGTTGGACTCTTGCTCTTTCAGGGACCGGTGACCTTCGAGGAGGTGGCTGTGTATTTCACCAGGGAAGAGGGGACTCTGCTGGACCCCGCTCAGAGAGCCCTCTGCGGAGACATCATGCAGGAGAACTATGAGAGTGTGACCTCGCTGGGTAAGGATTTCTGTCCCCTCGGTTCTTGGAAGGGGAAATGCAGAGTTAAGGTTCACACCAGCCCCAGAATGCCACCTCTGCTCTGTCCTGTTTCAGCATCACCCCGACATGCCAGTGACACACACAGTGACACCCTCTGCCCTCCCCTGCTACACAACACTTTGGGAACAGGAGCAGTACAGCACAAAGTCTAACAACTTCTCTTTACACATACGCCACCAGGCTGCTGACCGTCTATGTGACAAGAACACATCCTTGTGCACCTTCACTGACACAACCTACAACACTCAGCATGGAAATGAGGCAGACTTGGTGCCCCAAGTTTCACACGCACCCCCCTTTCATATCTCAGTCACAGCTCTGCCAAGCTGCTCCCAGTAATCCCTCCAGCAACAAATTCTAGCTAGAGATGACAGAGTGCACACAGCTGGAGGGCATGCAGATAAATGCCGGTATTCCCGTCTGTGCAACACAACACAAACAGTGGCATGTTCTCTTAGTCCTTCCTTGTATCTATTGTAGATTCATGGGTTTTTTATGGCCAGATATGACGATTAGGTCATCTAGTCTGACCTCTTCTATAACACAGGCAAGAAAATTTCATCCATTTGCTGCCAAGTTGAGCTGAATGCCTTGTGTTGGATTAAAGCATCTTCCAGAAAGGCATCTAGTCTTGACTCAAAGACTTCCTGTGATGTTGAAGCTGCCACTTCCCTGGTAATTTGTAAACCTTTGCACCAGCCTTCCTGAACCATTCCCAGTGGCGAATGCCAACTCCAGGGATAGGGAAGGGGCAGAGTTAAGGTTGTGTTGCAGTTAGGACATGTACTTTAACTCTTCATTTCCTAGTTTTCAGAGGTTTAACTTTAGCTCCCATCCACATGCTGGGAGGGCAGGAGGAAGCACTGGGCCACTGTAACTCTGCATTAATGTAGTTTATGGGCATTTAATTACTTTGATTTTATTCAGTAGTGGTTTGGGCTTTTTTTGCCACTGTAACTGTGTGTACCCTAAAGCTTTTGCTCTCCACGCTGTGTTGGTTAGCGGTGTGATTTTTCACACCCCAAACTGACAGAGCTACGCTGGAAAAACTTTTAAGTGCAGACCTAGCAAAACTCTGCATGTGGATATTAGGGCACTTTAAAATACTACTCTTGACCCAAACTTGTTGGAATCAGAGGGCAAAGCTTCCAAGAGGAATTTCAGCAGACTGTAAGAAAAATGCACAACACATATTATGTGAAAGCTACCAGAGGTAAGGCTCAGGTGTGGTTCAGTTTCAGTGGCCACAGCACATCCCCTTGAGCCAACCCTTTACTGTGACAGCAGATTGCGGGAAACCCTCTAGCAGTTAACAGGGACTTAGTCTTGCAGCCTGTCTGCATTTCAATGTCCGTGATTTACCAGTTTGGCTTGTGCTGCTCTGAAATTCCAAATCCTACAGGTATTGACTTTTTCAGTCCTGGTTTCCCAAAGAGGCAGTGGGGGCTACGTACTAACTGAGATAAATGCCAAGTGACCGAGATCTGTGAGGGAACGAGGGGAATCGTGGTTTCAGCCCCAGCTGTGTGCAGTGAAATGTTAAAAGTCAGCATGGATTCACCAAGGAAAGGTCATGTCTGACTAATCTAATCGCCTTCTATGATGAGATTACTGGTTCTGTGGATGAAGGGAAAGCAGTGGATGTATTGTTTCTTGACTTTAGCAAAGCTTTTGACACGGTCTCCCACAGTATTCTTGTCAGCAAGTTAAGGAAGTATGGGCTGGATGAATGCACTACAAGGTGGGTAGAAAGCTGGCTAGATTGTCGGGCTCAACGGGTAGTGATCAATGGCTCCATGTCTAGTTGGCAGCCGGTATCAAGTGGAGTGCCCCAAGGGTCGGTCCTGGGGCCGGTTTTGTTCAATATCTTCATAAATGATCTGGAGGATGGTGTGGATTGCACTCTCAGCAAATTTGCGGATGATACTGAACTGGGAGGAGTGGTAGATACGCTGGAGGGGAGGGATAGGATACAGAAGGACCTAGACAAATTGGAGGATTGGGCCAAAAGAAATCTGATGAGGTTCAATAAGGATAAGTGCAGGGTCCTGCACTTAGGACGGAAGAACCCAATGCACAGCTACAGACTAGGGACCGAATGGCTAGGCAGCAGTTCTGCGGAAAAGGACCTAGGGGTGACAGTGGACGAGAAGCTGGATATGAGTCAGCAGTGTGCCCTTGTTGCCAAGAAGGCCAATGGCATTTTGGGATGTATAAGTAGGGGCATAGCGAGCAGAGCTAGGGACGTGATCGTTCCCCTCTATTCGACATTGGTGAGGCCTCATCTGGAGTACTGTGTCCAGTTTTGGGCCCCACACTTCAAGAAGGATGTGGATAAATTGGAGAGAGTCCAGCGAAGGGCAACAAAAATGATTAGGGGTCTGGAACACATGAGTTATGAGGAGAGGCTGAGGGAGCTGGGATTGTTTAGCCTGCAGAAGAGAAGAATGAGGGGGGATTTGATAGCTGCTTTCAACTACCTGAAAGGGGGTTCCAAAGAGGATGGCTCTAGACTGTTCTCAATGGTATCAGATGACAGAACGAGGAGTAATGGTCTCAAGCTGCAGTGGGGGAGGTTTAGATTGGATATTAGGAAAAACTTTTTCACTAAGAGGGTGGTGAAACACTGGAATGCGTTACCTAGGGAGGTGGTAGAATCTCCTTCCTTAGAGGTTTTTAAGGTCAGGCTTGACAAAGCCCTGGCTGGGATGATTTAACTGGGAATTGGTCCTGCTTCGAGCCGGGGGTTGGACTAGATGACCTTCTGGGGTCCCTTCCAACCCTTATATTCTATGATTCTATGATTCTATGAAAAGAGCAAGATGATTTTGTAAAAGCTGCCTCTGGTGGCAGGGCTGTATCTCAGGAACCTTGTGATCAAATAACCCCATATTTGGATCAATAACCCTTCCCTGAATGCCCGTAAACCCCAGAAAATATCAAGACAATTCGAATAAACACATGCCTTTTAGTGTAGTTAGAATAATTGATCTTTAAACAGAAAATAATGCGTCCATCAACCTAGCTACTGCCACTTGGGTTGGTGGATGACCTATGGCAATGGGGAACCCTTTCCATTGCTGTAGTAATATCTACACGCCCGGTACTTTGGTTAAAAGACCATTATCCATGCAGATATGAGTCGAGTTCTTAGGTCAGTTTCATAGTAGAGATGATGAGTTTCAAAGGTGTAAATAGTTCTTCCAGAATTAGTTGCACTGGTCACAGTCCAGTGCCCAATATCGGAGTGACCCAGACTGGAGCTGAGGACCTCAACCTTGCAACTCAAACTTCCCCTGGCAAAGCTTAAGCAGATCTGAGATAACAGGATCAGGGCCCAGGAGTTCTTTTTATAGCTCTCGTGCAGCCTCTTGACAGCCCACATTCTTTTGGTGCGGCATTGTGGCTTGAAATAACCCCCCCTATTTCCTATGCATACACAGGTAACTAGTTGTATTCATCAGCCCAAGGTAATTCTCCATTGAGCAGTTCATAGACCAGTGGTGGGCAGCCTGTGGGCAGCCTGTGGCCTGTCAGGGTAAACTGCTGGCAGACCACCAGACAGTTTGTTTACATTTCTACAGCCGTCCACAGCTCCCAGTTTCCACGGTTCACTGTTCCTGGCCAATGGGAGCTGTGGGAAGCGGCGGCCCGCAGCTCCCATTGGCTGGAAACGGTGAACCGCAGCCACTGGGAGCTGTTGTGCAAATGTAAACAAACTGTTTGGCAGCCCGCCAGCGGTTTACCGTGATAGGTCACAGGTTGCCCACCACTGTCATAGACAGTTTACTACAAACTTCAAAGAGAAATATAGACAAAGACATTATTACACCCAAGTTTCATATAAATGTTAATATTGCCTTTTGAGTTATGATTCAGTAAGTGTAGTGACAGACAGGAACCGTCTGTTTACATCGTTAACATCTAACAAGTTATAAGTGAACACACAGAATTAGTATTACCCCTAATTCTCTCACAAAACCGGTTTGCATTTCAGAGCTCTCATCTATGGGACATGGCTACGTTAGCTATTTATAAGGAATAGCCCTAAATACATATTTTTCTAATGTGACTTTAAAGTTTGGGTAATTTAGTCTGCTAGTTGCTAAACCTTTCTGGATCAATGTCACGGGAGTGTCTGGCTGTGTGTGTTCCCAGCAGAGATGGGGATAGTTAAATGCCTCTGTCCTGCCCCTTGGAGCACCTGGGAAGCTGCCCCAAGGATTTTACTGCTTTACAATAGACTGGTTTAAAACCAATAGCTGCTTCTTTGTAAGAAATGTCCCATGAACTCCCCTGATCTCCTTTGTTTTCTATCCCCTGAGCAGGATTTCCCATTCCCAAACCAGATGTGATCTCCCAGCTGGAACGAGGGGAGGAGCCGTGGGTCCTGGATCTCCAGGGCTCTGAGGAAGGAGAGATCCTGAGCGGCGCTTGTGCAGGTGAGGGATCATTAAACCAATTCAAATACACTCTGTGGCTGAAGGAGGGAGCTGGGACTCCCTAAAAAGGCCTTGGGAGCTCTCGGAGTTCAGGAGTATCCCCAGAAGGCCTTGCACCGTATGGGCAGCTATCGCTCACAGCTTCCTACCCATCCTGATTGACACCCGGCAGCAGCTCCCTCCCTGACGGATACAATTCTGCCTCCACATCCTCTCTTCTCACCGCTGTGGAGAAAAGTTTAGGAGAATTCACTACCAGGGTTTTTTTCCCTGTCTCTCAAGCTCTAATTTCAGTTTGTTTCCTTCTTTTCCACCCCTGTTTCTGAGGTTTCTCTCTCTGTCCTGACAGGTGCTGGAATGGTGAATGAGAACGAGGAGCAGAATCCTGAGCAGGAAGATGCTGAGCAAGTGGAAGCGCGTGGGGGATTATCGCAAGGATCGAAAGGGAATGTGTCCAGGTGTTGTGTGAAGGGGAAAGCCTGTGAGAACCAGCACAGGCCACAGAGGCCGCAGGGAAACCAGCCCAGGGAGAAAGTGGGTAAATCCATTAATTGTCAGGGGACTCACCAAGACTCCAAGGAAATCACAGCCCAGCAGGGAATACCTACAGGAGAGAGAAAAAACACATGCACTGAGTGTGGGAAACACTTCACTCTGAACTCCACCCTCGTTAGACATCAGAGGATCCACACAGGGGAGCACCCCTACAAATGCTGTGAGTGCGGGAAACAGTTCAGTGAGAAATCAAACCTTATTACTCATCAGACAAGCCACACAAGAGAGAAACCCTATGAATGCTGTGAGTGCGGGAAAAGCTTCACTCGGAGTTCAACCCTTACTAGACATCAGAGAATCCATACAGGAGACAGACCCTATGAGTGCTGTGAGTGCGGAAAAAAGTTCACTCAGAGCTCAGTCCTTATTAATCACCAGCGAATGCACACAGGAGAGCGCCCCTATACATGCTGTGAGTGTGGGCAAACATTCGCTCAGAGCTCAGCCCTGTTTAAGCATGAGAAGATCCACACAGGAGAGCGCCCCTATGAATGCTCTGAGTGCGGGAAACAATTCATTGAGAAATCAAAATTTATGAAACATCAGAAGAGTCACACAGGAGGGAGACCCTATGAATGTTGTCAGTGTAGGAAACAGTTCAGTGAGAAATCAAGCCTTACTAAACATCAGGCAAGCCACACAGATGAGAGACCCTATGAGTGTAGTGAGTGCGGGAAAAGCTTCACTCGGAGCTCATCCCTCATAAGACATCAGAGGATCCACACAGGAGAGAGACCGTATAAATGCTGTGAGTGTGGGAAAAGCTTTGCTTTCAAATCAGACGTTAATAAACATCAGAGGGTCCACACAGGAGAGCGCCCCTATGAATGCCGCGAGTGCGGGAAACAGTTCAGTCAGAAATCAAACCTTAGGGCACATCAGAGAGGCCACACAGAACAGAGTCCCTATGAGTGCCGTGAGTGCGGGAAAAAGTTCACTCAGCTCTCAAGCCTTATTAATCACCAGAGAATCCACCCGGGAGAGCGCCCCTATGAATGCTGTGAGTGGGGGAAACAGTTCAGTGAGAAATCAAACGTTCTTAAACGTGAGGCAGACCACACAGGAGAGAGACCCTATGAGTGCTGCGAGTGCGGGAAAAAGTTCACTCAGCGCTCAGGCCTTATTAATCACCAGAGAATCCACACAGGAGAGCGCCCCTATACATGCTGCGAGTGTGGGAAAAAGTTCACTCAGAGCTCAGGCCTTATTAAACATCGGAGGATCCACACAGGAGAGAAACCCTATGAGTGCTCCGAGTGCGGGAAAAGTTTCACTGAGAGCTCATCCCTTATTAGACATCAGGGGATCCACACGGGAGAGAGACCCTATGAATGCTTTGAGTGTGGGAAAAGCTTCACTTTTAAATCGGACCTTATTAATCATCAGAGGATCCACACACGAGAGCAGCCTGTGAATGCTGTGAAAGCGGGAAAAGTTTCACCTGGAGCTCACACCTTAATAGACATCAGTGAGTTCACAGGATAGAGACACACCATAAGAACTTTGTGTAGGGCAGAGAAAAGATTTTTTTTTTAAAGACATTTGTTAATTCCTACACAGGGACTTTGGTGAAAACAGCCCTAAATTTGTGTCACCCTGTTCTCTCAGCTCCCCCAGGTGAGTTGCCCACTTTTTCTTTGCAGGTCGCCCTTCTCTGGGGTGACCCATGGTCCTTTCTACCTACTCCTTTCTCCTGTGAGTCATGAGAGTGTGTCTCCCTCCGGCCAGGAGTGTCCATCAGCCTCAAGTGGGGTTAATAGGGGTGACCTCAGGTAGGGGTGATCTAAAATTGACCTGGGCTTTGTCTCCGCTAGGATTTTCCAGCCTGCTGGAGGTAGCGATCCTAATGTAAACACCCTGCTGTATGTGCAGTGCTGACATAGCCCAGGGGCTGGGGTTAGCTCGCACCTTCCCCTTTGACCTGTCCTAATCGACACCAATGTTCCTGCTCTGGACAATCCCTGAGCAGCACATTTATACTGGCCCTGCTCTAGCAGAGCGAGTGTTAGTCACCAAGTTCCCCCTTTGGCGACAGATTGTCTCATTCCCAGTTGTTCTCATGCTGATCCAGGTTGTTCTGGGCAGTAGGTATTTTTCTTTTTAACATTTTCCTTATTGAAAATCTATTTCAATATAACAAAGAGGAGGAGCAGGAGTGGGACAAATGTATCATTTTGGCCCCTGTGACACTGGAAGGAAATGGGGTGAGTCGACGGGATTCCCTCCTTCCCCATCACCATCACTAGGTCCGCTCACTCCAGCAGCGCTGGGTTCTGTTTGAGCCACAATGGAGCTTATCCACCTATAATCTACCCCCCCCCCCCACCTCCCAAAGTGTCTCTGCACTTCATAGCAAATTGATCCTAAATCCGACTTGTTACGGCTGGAGATGAAAATGTCCCAGACCTGGATGGGGAATTTCCATGGATCCCAAACACCATGCGATCATTCCCCATTTAAATCTCAGTTTCTGTCTATTGACAGAGCAACTTGTGGAAATTTTCCTGCTGAGCTGGGATCGTTTGCAGACGAGAAGGTCAGCAGTTTTTCCCTGATATGATGATAATTTTCTTGTTTTGTCAATAACAATTCCATAATAATGAAGTGCTGTTGAGTGAAACAGGTTTGAATGGATCAGAAGAGAAAGTGACAGGGGAATCTGCTCTGCTGATTTTTGAGTTATCGGATGTAACCTGCTCTGGAATTTAATTTTATATGAAACTGAAAGTGACTTATACAGAGCTAGTTGAGTGGTGTTAAGTATAGTTTACGTTTAGTGAGCTGTGTTCTTCATTTTATTTGTTTGTTCATTTTAATGAAATGTATAAAAGCGATAATGAGTCATCTCTTTCAATAAGTCACATGGGTCAGAACCATGGAGCATCTGGGTGGAGATCAGCCAGTCCAAGTTGGAGCCTTATCGGCTCCCTCTGAATTAACCCTTTGGCTCTCACATGAGAGCAGCTGTGGGGGTAGGGGGTGGGAACCTATCTCAGCTCCCGCTGGATTCTAGGGAGCTCAGAGCATCACAAGTAAAAAATGAGCTCACCTACACAGGCTTTTAGGAGTAGGGAGTTGGTGGAAGGGCAGGGTATCTCTAAGTAGGGGTGGGATGGCTATGGATTTCTCTGCTGTCACTGTCATGACCAGGACCAGCCAGCACACCCATCCGGCTTGCCCTGGGATTGTGTCTGGTCAGGATCAGCTGATGTTGTGGGTCTGGTTCGAAGGGTTGTAAATGGAGGGGAAGAGATTGTGCCTTTTAGCCATTGTGGTGTTGGCAGACTGAAGATGTGTTTGTGTTTTGGGGGAACATTGGGGAATAACTGAAAGAGGGCAGGCAGAGTTAAGGTTGTGTGGGCAACCTTATCTCTTAGTTTCCTATTTTTCAGGCGTGTGAGTTTTGCTGAAGTTGAGCTTCTCCAGGCAGACAACATTCCACCAGGCACTTAACTCCTTGTTAATGATGGTTTTTGTCCTTTAATTACTCCTTGAGGAATTCTGCACCAAAACATTAAAAATTCTGCACACTATTTTAAAATTTTGTGTATTTTATTTGTCAAAGTAACACAATATAATCACTCCAGTTTCAGTTATTCAAAATACCTGTCAACAAATATGTCAACAATACAGACAACAGCAAAAATGATTCCCCGAGGAGAAAGAGAGTTAAAGAAACCCCTACAATAACCGAATTCCAGATGGGGGATGCTGGAGGGGGCTGTGTGGGGCCCACAGAGCCCAGACACCTGCACTCCCATCCCCCCAGAGCCCAGCTACAGGGCAGCCCCCAGACACCAGTCCCCCCTCTCCCCATAGCCCAGCTGTGGGACAGCTGCCAGACACCAGTTCCGGCCTCTCCACAGAGTCTAGCCATGGGGCAGCCCCTGGCCCAGATGCCAACACCCCAGGGGCTTTACTCCCCACAACTTCTTTACTGTCCTGCCGGGGGACGTGGTGTGGTGCAGCCCTGCCCTTCCCCACTCTTTGCCAGAGCTGGCAGGGTATCCCAGGCCCTTTCCCGTCCTCAGGAGAATGAGGATCAGGCAGAGTGTGCAGCCTCCCGCCCTGCCACGCTCTGCTCCCTGCGAGCTGGGTGTCTTTATAAGAGGGAGAAAGACAAGAAAATCCAGTGAAAAGTCCCAGGAAGAAGTTAGCAGATTTCTTCCCCCTCCCAGGCCCCTTTTCTCTGCATGACCCTTTGCTGTGTGTGAGGGGTGAGATAGAGGATGCTGGGGAGTCAGTACCACCTAGATGACAAAAAGGGAAGTTAGCTGATTAAATGGGACATGAGGAAAATAGAGACGTTGTCATCATTGGAGTAAAAGAAGTTTTCATCGGCTGGGGATCTGGCCCATCTGCTCGTCTTTTCCCCAACCCTGGTCGCAGACCTACCAGCTGCTGCTGCCCCTCGGTCCCAGCTGTGAGGGGTGTGAAGCCCGTTCATTGTGCAGTGCCTAGTTCCCAGACATCTGAGGGACTTCAGCTGCCCTCTGTCCCCAGGGCCCCCCACTCCCAATCCAGTTCCTACCGCTCCAAGGGGCCTTCTGCCAGGAGAGGAGCATGGCAGGGGGATCATAGAAATCATAGAATATCAGGGTCGGAAGGGACCTTAGGAGGTCATCTAGTCCAACCCCCTGCTCAAAGCAGGACCAATCCCCAACTAAATCATCCCAGCCAGGGCTTTGTCAAGCCTGACCTTAAAAACTTCTACGGAAGGAGATTCCACCACCTCCCTAGGCAACGCATTCCAGTGTTTCACCACCCACCTAGTGAAAAAGTTTTTCCTAATATCCAACGTAAACCTCCCCCACTGCAACTTGAGACCATTACTCCTTGTTCTGTCATCAGCTACCAACAAGAACAGTCTAGATCCATCGTTTTTGGAACCCCTTTCAGGTAGTTGAAAGCAGCTATCAAATCCCCCCTCATTCTTCTCTTCTGCAGACTAAACAATCCCAGTTCCCTCAGCCTCTCCTCATAAGTCATGTGTTCCAGTCCCCTAATCATTTTTGTTGCCCTCCGCTGGACTCTTTCCAATTTTTCGACATCCTTCTTGTAGTGTGGGGCCCAAAACTGGACACAGTACTCCAGATGAGGCCTCACCAATGTCGAATAGAGGGGAATGATCACGTCCCTCAATCTGCTGGCAATGCCCCTGCCTATACATCCCAAAATGCCATTGGCCTTCTTGGCAACAAGGGCACACTGTTGACTCATATCCAGCTTCTCGTCCACCGTAACCCCTAGGTTCTTTTCTGCAGAACGGCTGTCTAGCCATTCGGTTCCTAGTTTTTAGGGGTGCATGGGATTCTTCCGTCCTAAGTGCAGGACCCTGCACTTCTCCTTGTTGAACCTCATCAGATTTCTTTTGGCCCAATCCTCTAATTTGTCTAGGGCCCTCTGTATGCTATCCCTACCCTCAAACGTATCTACCTCTCCTCCCAGTTTAGTGTCCTCTGCAAACTTGCTGAGGGTGCAATCCACACAATCCTCCAGATCATTTATGAAGATATTGAACAAAACCGGCCCCAGGACCGACCCTTAGGGCACTCCACTTGATACCGGCTGCCAACTAGACATGGAGCCATTGATCACTACCCGTTGAGCCTGACAATCTAACTTTCTATCCACCTCATAGTCCATTCATCCAGCCCATACTTTTTTAACTTGCTGCCAAGAATACTGTGGGAGACCGTGTCAAAAGCTTTGCTAAAGTCAAGGAACAACACGTCCACCGCTTTCCCCTCATCCACAGAACCAGTTATCTCGTCATAGAAGGCAATTAGATTAGTCAGGCATGACTTGCCCTCGGTGAATCCATGCTGATTGTTCCTGATCACTTTCCTCTCCTCTAAGTGCTTCAGAATTGATTCCTTGAGGACCTGCTCCATGATTTTTCCAGGGACCGAGGTGAGGCTGACTGGCCTGTAGTTCCCAGGATCCTCCTTCTTCCCTTTTTTAAAGATGGGCACTACATTAGCCTTTTTCCAGTCATGCGGGACTTCCCCTGATCGCCATGAGTTTTCAAAGGTAATAGCCAATGGCTCCGCAATCACATCCGCCAACTCCTTTAGCACTCTCGGATGCAGCGCATCCAGCCCCATGGACTTGTGCTCGTCCAGCTTTTCTAAATAGTCCCGAACCACTTCTTTCTTCACAGAGGGCTGGTCACCTCCTCCCCATGCTGTGCTGCCCAGTGCAGCAGTCTGGGAGCTGATCTTATTCGTGAAGACAGAGGCAAAAAAAGCATTGAATACATTAGCTTTTTTCCACATCCTCTGTCACTAGGTTGCCTCCCTCATTCAGTAAGGGGCCCACACTTTCCTTGATTTTCTTCTTGTTGCCAATATACCTGAAGAAACCCTTCTTGTTATTCTTAACAGCTCTTGCTAGCTGCAACTCCAGGTGTGATTTGGCCTTCCTGATTTCACTCCTGCATGCCCAAGCAATATTTTTATACTCTTCCCCGGTCATTTGTCCAATCTTCCACTTCTTGTAAGCTTCTTTTTTGTGTTCAAGATCAGCAAGGATTTCACTGTTAAGCCAAGCTGGTCGCCTGCCATATTTACTATTCTTTCTCCGCATCGGGATGGTTTGTCCCTGTAACCTCAATAAGGATTCTTTAAAATACAGCCAGCTCTCCTGGACTCCTTTCCCCCTCATGTTATTCTCCCAGGGGATCCTGCCAATCAGTTCCCTGAGGCAGTCAAAGTCTGCTTTTCTGAAGTCCAGGGTCCATATTCTGCTGCTCTCCTTTCTTCCCTGTGTCAGGATCCTGAACTCGACCATCTCATGGTCAGTGCCTCCCAGGTTCCCTGTTAGCCAGTTCTCTGTAGTTAGGACAGTCAGGGTGCCCAGCACTGGGGTCTCTGAGCGCCGTGGTCCTGTGTGGGGCTGCCACTCCCCTTCCCCTCCTTTGGTCTCATCGTGCATTGAATCCAGCCTTTTTTTCTCTCCACCACCATCATCCTAAACATGCTGCACTTGCCTCCTGCTCCCTGTTGTGTGTAAAGAGATTTCTCTGTAACCTCTGCCTGCTTCCCCCACCCCATTTCCTCACCGTTCAGTCTGTGTTGATGTGGCTCTTTCTCTCCGGGATCCCCCCCCCCCTTATCTTTCGGCATTGAGCATCCTCCCGGGAAGCCCACGAGGTTGGATTCTGAGAAGCACCAAGGTGACCTAGAAGCACAAACCCCCACTGCCCTTCCATAGGACTGGCGCTTTGCCCTTTGCGGTGAGCAGGATTTGAACCTGTGCAGGCAAACCTCATAGGATTAGGGGAACCAGAGTCAGGCTGGGGCAGAATGTGTCATTTGACCCCCCTCCTACCCCCCCATGGACAGGTTCGTGCTTTGGTGACCCTGTGATTCCATTCCCAGATCACAGAACCCCACAAAGGAGAGATTTGCAGATTAACGGGGTGGGGGCTTGTGCTGAGCAAGGGCTGTTGTGACCATAGAAAAAGCCGTTGTGGGGTTTGAAGGACAAATCCCCAACCAGAGCCCTTGCTGGAGCTGGGGTGATCTCTGGTTCTTTTCTTGTTTTTAATAAAAAGAAAAGGAGTACTTATGGCACCTTAGAGACTAACCAATTTATTTGAGCATGAGCTTTCGTGAGCTACAGCTCACTTCATCGGATGCATACTGTGGAAACTGCAGAAGACATTATATACACAGAGACCATGAAACAATACCTCCTCCCACCCCACTCTCCTGCTGGTAATATCTTATCTAAAGTGATCATCAAGTTGGGCCATTTCCAGCACAAATCCAGGTTTTCTCATCCTCCGCCCCCCACATACAAACTCACTCTCCTGCTGGTAATAGCCCATTCAAAGTGACCACTCTCTTTAAAATGTGTATGATAATCAAGGTGGGCCATTTCCAGCACAAATCCAGGTTCTCATCCTCCGCCCCCCCACATACAATCATAGAATCATAGAATATAAGGGTTGGAAGGGACCCCAGAAGGTCATCTAGTCCAACCCCCTGCTCGAAGCAGGACCAATTCCCAGTTAAATCATCCCAGCCAGGGCTTTGTCAAGCCTGACCTTAAAAACCTCTAAGGAAGGAGATTCTACCACCTCCCTAGGTAACGCATTCCAGTGTTTCACCACCCTCTTAGTGAAAAAGTTTTTCCTAATATCCAATCTAAACCTCCCCACTGCAGCTTGAGACCATTACTCCTCGTTCTGTCATCTGATACCATTGAGAACAGTCTAGAGCCATCCTCTTTGGAACCCCCTTTCAGGTAGTTGAAAGCAGCTATCAAATCCCCCCTCATTCTTCTCTTCTGCAGGCTAAACAATCCCAGCTCCCTCAGCCTCTCCTCATAACTCACTCTCCTGCTGGTAATAGCTTATCCAAAGTGACCACTCTCCCTACAATGTGCATGATAATCAAGGTGGGCCATTTCCAGCACAAATCCAGGTTTTCTCACCCCCCCACCGCAACACACAAACTCACTCTCCTGTTGGCAATAGCTCATCCAAACTGACCACTCTCCTTACAATGTGCATGATAATCAAGGT